CTGAAGGGTCTCAGGGGCATGAGAATGGTTGCGGCCACATCAAAGGTAGGGGGTGTGCAGGAGGTGGCTCATCGATGTTTCTCTCTCACTGACGTTTCTAGCTCTCTATCTCTCTCGCTTCCTCTCTATAAAAAATCAATAAAATATATCTAAAAAAATGTGTTGATACAACAAACTACTCACCACAATTTTTTTAAAACACATTTGCATTTAAAAAAAAAAAAAGGCATGTGTCTACCATTAACAACACTCACAAATAATAAACTACCCCTATATTGGCTGTCTCCAAGGCACATACAGCCTCAGCAGAGACAGCATTACCTTCCCGAGACAAAATGAATAAATACATGCAGATAAAACTGCCTCCACAATCAAGGCCTCCAGCTCCATGGCTGCCTGCCTAATTCGCTCAAAAACACCCAGAGTGGACTGCCTGCATCAACCACACCCCCCTCCAGGGAAATCCATGCCTCCCTCATAAATCAACGCCTCTCCAGGCAATCTCTACAACAACATGTTCTCAATACAACCCCTACCACTCCATCCACTGTTTGCTCCGCAATGGAGGCCTCTGAGAACTCATGGCCTCACCGATGCACGCCTTTGGAGGAACAGCTCACTTCCTCAACGCAACAAAAAGCCATGCCGGCGCACACATCCGGAAAGCGACCCTTGGTGGGGCCGGGCATAAAAACGACTCACAAATACACACCTGCCACTCCAGGAATCAGAGCGGAGACCTCAGGGTTCCTAGGTTGAAGCTCAACCACTGAGACACACTGGTGAGGCACACCCAGGTGGAATCGTTGTGCCCAGGAGAGAAAGACTCCTTGACTGTGGCCTGTTAATTCTGTTAACTCAGGGTTCCCACCGCATTAACTTAGGGCTAACACTGCATTTGCATGGGTTTGATCCACCCCTACGGAGGGCGGTCGCCATGGCTATCCATCCCTTGAGGTTCGGGGTCTGGGGCGCCTTGGCTCCGTCCCTGGTTCTGGTTGCATTCCGGGGGGCATCTCTACAACCTGCAGGGTCCCTAATTCCCCACATTTGTATCTGTGGGGTCAGCAGTGTTAAAGCACTTGAGTCTGTCAAAGGTTCCAGAAGGAGGACGGGAGAGGTGAAGACGCATCGCGCGGGAAGGGGGTGTCAGCAGGATCTCTGGACACCAGCTGAGGGCATTCCTAGGACAACGGGCCACACTGCAATCCCGTCAGAGGACTGGAGTGCAGAGAGCATTACTTTCAGGATTCTGATGGTTGTGCAGGAGAAGGCCCCGGTTTATAGGAAATTGTCCCTGTAGTATTGGGGAGAAAAAATAAATAAAATATTTGGGGATCACAGGGTATCACACGTGTAATATCAGATTGCTCATGAAGAGAGATCTCTGTGCTATACTCGTAACTTTTCTGTAGTTTTGCTTTGGGATAGCTTAAAAATAAACAAATGATGCAATTCCATATATGTCCACAAGCGGTGACTTAAAATCACAAAACTGGTTTAATCAGGTATAGGGGTTCATAATGAGGATTCTTCCCCATAGATGGATTTACTACCGTGTTTCCCCAAAAATAAGACAGCCTCCGAAAATAAGACCTAGCGCATGGAAAGATAAGACATCACCTGAAAATAAGACCTAGCGCAACTTTGTGAGAAAAAATTAATATAAGACACTGTCTTATTTTCGGGGAAACAGGGATAGTAATGAACTAAAACTTCCCGCAAATGCCCTTTTAATTGGGCACTAGATTCGACATTATTAGGCATTAAAATATCTACAATGTTATCGCCTTCAGAGATTTTGACATAAAGTTTTGAAGCTTGTCAATAAAACAAAATAGCATACATATCCAATCGCATGTTTATCAACAGATGTGTATTAATACTTGCCATTTTGCTTACTGGGCTGTAAGACAAGTTTTGTGTTTGTTTTTTTGTTTGTGTGTGTGGTGTGTGTGTGTGTCTTTTTCTATTCTTAATATGTTAAGGATCCCAAAGGGGAAGGGAGAGAGAGAGAGAGAGAGAGAGAGAGAAAGAGAGAGAGAGAGACAGAAAGAGAGAAAGAGAGACCAAAGATTATAGAAAAACCATCCATCGTCTGCTCCATGCAAGCCCCACTCAGGGGATGGAGCCCACAACCTGGCATGTGCCCTGACCTGACTGGGAATGGAACCACACGACTTCCTGGTTCATAGGTCAAAGCTCAACCACTGAGCCACAGGGGCCGGCCGGAGGGCATCAGTGGCTTTAATGGTCTCCTCTGTAGTCACAGCTCCAATATACAGAGACAAAGATACGTTTGCTTGAAAGTTAGAGGTGAACTTACCAGGTACTCGAGGCTCTCGGTCCTTTGGGAGGGACTATGCTCTTGAACCCTCACCCTCAGACTGTGACCTTGCAGCCACGGTCTGTGCCCCGAGGACAGGGTCCTCCAGAGAGAGACACTAATTCCTCTGCCTCCTCAAGTGCCTCCTCCCAGGTCTCCTGCCGCTGCAACCTCCCTGACAGGCCAGCCCCGCCCGCATCCCCACAAGCTGGCAAAGCTGCCACTGCGTTTCTAAAAGAAAATAACGTTTTCATCCATTTCAGCCACAGAGATACGCACCCACGGTGAGAATCGGCTGCCTCCTGCACCTCCACATCAGGCATGGAGGCCCCAACCCGGGCATGGAACCAGGCATCAGACCCGAGACCTCCCGGTTCACAGGTCGAAGCTCAACCACTGAGCCACACTGCCCCGGCGTAGCCAGGTGGAATCGCTGTGCCCAGAGAAAGACTCCTTGGCTGTGGGCTGTTGATTCTGTTACTCGGGGTTAACACCGCATTAATTTAGCATTTACACTGCATTTGCATGGGTTTGATCCACCCCTGCGGAGAGGAGTCGCCCCAGCTCCCTATCTCTTCATGTTTGAGGTCCAGGGCGCCTTGGCTCCATCCCGGTTCTGGTTGCGTTCTGGGGGCGTCACTGCAGCCTGCAGGGTCCCTGATTCCCGATATTATTATCTGCCGCTTCAGCAAAGTGTGAAAGCACTTGAGTCTGTCAGAGGTTCCAGGAGAGGTGAAGACTCTATGCAAAGGGCGCCTCTCACTGGAAGGGGGTGTCAGAGAGGTCTCTGGCCGCCTGCCGAGGGCATTCATGGTTGTGCAGAAGGCCCTGGTTTATAGGAAATTGCCCCTGGTATTCGGGCGGAAAAAAAAATATTTACGGGGTCACAGAGTATTACATGGGTGATGTCAGATTGCTAGTGAAGGAACTTCTCCGTGCTATACTTGTCACTTTACTGTAGTTTTGCTTTGGGATGGCTTTAAAAAAAAAAAAAAAAAAAAAAAAAGTATAAACTAATGACACAATTCCAGAGATGTCCACAAGAAGGCGACATAACACCACAAAAGTGGTGTTACCAGGTATATAGATTAATAACGAATTTTTTTTCTCCATAGATGGAGTTATTAGTAATGAACTAAAACTTCTCGCAAATGCTCTTCTTTTTGGCATTAAACTCGACATTTTTATGTGTTAAAATATCTATGATGTTAACTTCTTCAGAAAATATGGCATGAAACTTTGAAGATTGTTTATTCAAAAGAGCGTAGGTATCAAATAGCATATATATCCACATATGTGCACTTATCGTTTTGCTTACCAGACTTTTAGAAATTTAGTTATTTTTAATATGTTACAGATGTCAGAGGGGAAGGGAGAGAGAAACACCAATGATTACAGAAAACCTTCCATCGGCTGCCTCCTGCATGCCTACCATGGGGATGCAACCCACAACCTGACATGTGCCCTGACGGTAATTGGAACCACAGGACCTCTTGGATCATAGGTCGAAGCTCAACCATGGAGCCACACCGGCCGGAGGGCATAGGTGGTTTGAATGGTCTCCTCTGCAGTCTAAGCTCCCAAACAGAGACAAAAAGAACATTTGCTTGAGAATCAGAGGCGAACTGACCAGGCACTGGAAGCTCCAGGTCCTTCGAAAGGACTCTGCTCTCCAACCCTCACCCCCAGCCTGTGACCCTGCAGCAACCGCCAGGCAGCCCCAGGAAAAGGTCTTCCCGAAAGAGACACTAATTCCTCTGTCTCCTGCTGACTAGGCTGGTGGGTTCCAGGTGCCTACCAAGTATGGGATGCACATCGGAGAGACACCATCGAAGACAGCATTGGAGCCACTGAATGAGAAATGGCAAAGCCTGGGTCGGGGCAGCACAAGTCCTGGGGCTCTGGCCTGGTTGCCAGGAACAAAGATTGGTTGCACGGCACCCTGCCCCCCAGGAAGACCACAGAGGACTGAGCACGATAGGAACCTGGACTGAGTGAATGATGTGGCCTCACCCGAGCTTCGTCTAACAAAGGCAATTCCCACTCTGTCACCCATTTTTATTTTGTTTGTACAGTTTTTCTTTACTTAAGGACCATCCGGTATAACAGCATGCCTTTCCTAAGTGAGCACGAATGTGCAATTATGCTGCTTCCCTCACCCTCAGGCACAGTCTAACCCTGAAAACTGAGTAAGATGTTCCTGCCACATGATGACCCTTGTTTACTGCGGAAGCATTTAAAAAAAAATTATATTTTATTGTGTGTTTTTTTTTAACAGAAGAGAGAGAGTTACAAACACCGATCAGCTGCCTCTTGCACACCCTCCACGGGGGATGTGCCCGCAGCCAAGGTACATGCCCTGACCGGAATCGAATTTGGGACCTTACAGTCTGCTGGTCGATGCCCTATCCACTGAGCCAGACCGATTTCGGTGCACAAGCATTTTAAATGGACCTCTGTCTTCTAACAGCAGGAACCAATGATTGGAAAACCTACCGATGGGGCCTATACTGGTCAGACAGTATTCAATATGCTGGCCTCACATCTGCCCAGCAGCCATGGCACCAGGTGAACTGACCGTCCAGGGACGGACCAACCCCACATCCCTCTAAGTACACTCCCGGCAAACCCCCCCACCCTGGGGGAAGGGGGGCAGGTGCAGGAGGGGAGGAGGCTAAAAGAAATTGAACCTAAACTCTTCCTCTGGAACGTCGAGGGTGGCCTTAGGTCCCCTTTCCAGACGGGACCTGCAGACCCTTCGGCTCCTCTTCCTGGCGGCCTCACCCACAGGCTGCACGTGGGCTGAACGGGCTGCTGTGGGAGAGGAGAGTGTCAGCTGGTAACAGCAGCTCATGCCCACGGGGCCGTTCGACCAAAAGCACTGTGTGTTGGTGAACGGATTCCTGTCTCAAAGTCACAGGGTAGGTCTCATAACACCCGCCGACGCGTCCGGAGGCACAGGACTCCCTAGGCAGCCCTGCTGCTCTGAGATTCTTCCTTTGGCTCCTAGGCTTTTAGCAGGATCGGCCCTTCCCGCTCCTCACCGGTCTGAAGAGCCCGCAGGGCTTGACGCCGCTCCGCTTCCATCTGCGCCCGGTAATCCCCAAACAAGGAGCGCATCAGCTGCCTCTTGCGGGGCAGAGGGGTTCTCCCACTGCGCAGGGTCCGGATGGCCACGACAGCCTGCTCTTCTGCAGGTGAGAACGCAGGACTGGAGGCCTCCTCCATCCTCACCGCCCACGCTGAAGCCGCACGCCCAGCCCCCGGCAGCCCCTGCAGCCCCGGGCTGCCAATCCGCCTCCCCATTCCTCCCAAAGCGCTCACTCTGCTTCGGGCTGGGGCTCTGCATCCGGAGGCCGAGTTCCAGCTGCTCCACGCACCAGTCCAGCTCCCGGGCCAGCTGTTCTGCCTGAGGCAGAGGCAGCGGTGGTGAGAGGGCCCGCCGCCCTCCCCGCCCTCCCCAACCCCGCAAACCCCGAGGACCCGCACTCAGGATGCACCCGGCCTTGCCTGGGCCTCCGGGCTCGGAGAGGGCTCCGGGGCCGGCTTCTCGCAGGCCTTCCCGGCTACATTCGACCCCGAGGCTCCTTTCCGACTTTTCTTCTTGTTTTGCTTCCTGGAGGCCGCGTCACCTTCACCGCCTACGGGATAAGCCCTGGAGGTGTCGTCACTGCGCGCGGGGTATCCTGTGACGTCACTGCGCACGGCGGGTCCTGAAGAGGGACAGACGGGGTGAAACCGACAGTGGAAGGGTGGGGGGGCGGACGGAAGAACCAAAGGCTGCATAGCGCGGGCGGTACCTGGGGCGGGGGCCGCCGGCGTCTCCCGGGCAGGATATCCGAGGGCCTGGAGAAAAGGGGGCAGCAAGAGGCTCACGCGGGGGCAGCCCACGGACCGGGGCCCCGCCACCCACGCCTCCTCTCCGCACCGCTCACCGCCATGCGCTGCAGGAAGGCGCTTCCGCCGGAATCTACGTACAGGAGTCCGCGGCGGATCCGCTCCTCCTTCTCCAGACACAGCCTGGAGTGCCGCCCGCGCGGTGGGCGGGACCCGCTATAGGATGGACCTCCGCGGACACGCGCGGTGGGCGAGACCCAGGAAATGGGGCGGGACACGCGCGGTGGGCGGGAACCAGGAAGTGGGGCGGGACAAGTGCGGTGGGCGGGACCCGCTATGGGATGGACCTGCTCGGTGGGCGGGACATGCGCGGTGGGCGGGACCGGCGGCTGCAGGCGTGACGCCCTCGGAAACAGTGTTGAATGAACTGAGTGCAGACTCTGGTGAAATGACAGCCGAGAGGGGGCCGCTGGCTCTCCAAGCTCGCCTTCCGGTGGAGCAACAACAACAGCGTGAAGGGCTGTCCAGCAGCGAATGGTGGCTGAGAGTCAGCATGACTTCTCAGGCAAGCACCTGATAGTAAACTGAATTGGGACCCTGGAGGTTATTGCTCCATGCTTAGAGCATCTGGTCCTTGCAGCTGAGGGTTGTGGGTTCAATTCCCGGACAAGGGCATGTTCCTGGGTTGCAGGTTCCATCCCAGGCCACAGTTAGTGCACGTGGGGGAGGCAAACCATGTGTCTGAAATCGATGTCTCCCTCTTCATCTCTTTCTCTCGCGCTCCCTCCCACTCTCTCTAAAAATTAATGTGCCGAAACCGGTGTGGTCGGTGTGGTTCAGTGGATAGAGTGTCAGCCTGTGGACTGAGGGGTCCCATCCCCAGTAGGGGGCGTGCAGGAGGCAGCTGGTCAATGTTCCCCTCCTCTCTCATGGATGTTTCTAACTATATCCCTCTTCCTCTCGGTAAAAAATAAATAAAATATATATTTAAAAGAGATAAATAAAAATTCATGGGACCGAAACCGGTTTGGCTCAGAGGATAGAGCGTCGCCTGCGGACTGAAAGGATCAGGGTTCGATTCCAGTCGAGATGTACCTGGGTTTCGAGCACATCCCCAGTAGGGGGTGTGCAAGAGGCAGCTGATCGATATTTCTCTCTCATCAATCTTTCTAACTCTCAATAAAATCAATAAAATATATTAAAAAATTAATGGAAAAATATTCTTGGGTGAGGATTAACAGCAGCAAAAATAGGTAATTTGAATGAATGGAGAGAAATTCTATATTACTGTATTGGAAAATTTGATATTATAAGTGTATTAATTTTCCTCAGAATAAACCTATAAACAAATTTAACAAAATTAAATAAAAATACCTGTTCTGGTTTTTAATATTTTTGTAGAACATATTACATATGTCCCCCTTTCCCTCCCTTGACCCCTTGTAGCCCATCCCCACCCACACCCCCCACCTCAGACCTTCACCACCCTGTTGTCTGTCCATGGATTGTGCATATATGCATACAAGTTCTTCGATTGATTTCTTCCCAGCCACTCACCCTACCCCATCTTCCCTCTAAGCTTCCTCAGTCTGTTCTATGCTTGTATGTCTCTGGATCTATTTTGTTCACCAGTTTATTTCATTCATTTGATTTCACATATGAGTGACATCATGTGATACTTATCTTTCTCTGACTCGCTTATTTAGTGCAAATGTACCCCCCCCCCCCCCGTACCGCGTAGTTCAGGGCTCAGATTCAGAGTCGGATTCTGGAGGAAGCCACACACAAACGAAAAAGAGAAGAAAATACTGATTTGGGAATTGGCCAGGTGGAAGCCAAAGAGAGGACTCCACTTTGCTCTGGCCTTGAGATCCCTTTCATTCAGGTTTGGGATCCACTGATGGCCTTTAGGCGGGCAATTTCCACCAACAGGCAAAATATCCTATCAGTAAGAAGTTACATGAGACTAAATGGTGGGAGTTGCTTCAGCTACCTTTGTCTCCAACCTACAGTGGGTGTTTGGCCCAAGGTTGACCAGCCTTCTTGACTCCTTATCCACCTCTTTCTGCTGGTGAAGGCAATGGGCAGCTTACAACAATTTCAATTAGCATAATACTCTCCAGGCTTCTCTATGCTGTTTCAAAGGGTAAGAGATACTTTTTTTTTTTTTTTAACTGTTGCATAGTATTTCATGGTGTAAATGTACCACAGCTTTTTTATCATCTGTTCATGAGCACTTGGGCTGTTTTCAGATACTAGCTATAAAAAATTGTGCTGCTGCACTAGCTGGTTTGGCTCAGTGGATAAAGCGTCGGCCTGTAGACTTAAGGGTCCTGTGTTCAATTCTGGCCAAGGGCACATGCCTGTGTTGCAGGCTCGGTCGGTCCCCAGTGAGGGGCCTGCAGGAGACAGCCAGTCAGTGATTTTCTCTCATCATTGATGTTCTATCTCTCTCCCTTCCTCTCTGAAATCAATTAAATATATATATATATTTTTTTAAAATTGTGCTGCTATGAACATAGGGATTTATAAATTCTTCTGATTACCTTTTCAATCTATTGATTGTAATCATTGGATTGACGGATTCAGGTCTTTCACGTGCAGTCTTATTTTTTTAATCAAGTTACAGTCTGTTTAGATTTTAGAAGTTGCGTATCAAACCACACAGAGGTATATAAAATTCTACCTGCGTTTCTAATCGTTTTGTTTTGTTTTTTCTACTTCGTTACCACCCCATTAGTTGCAGGGACCGGTTCTAACAGTGGCTATCTGGCGGGGGAACCACCAAGTCGCTGAGGCCTCCAGCTGCCTAGAGCGGCGACGCTGGCTCGGGCTCATGGGGTACCTCCGATAGGAAGTTGGGGCGGGACTTCCGGAGTCAGCCTCCGGGCCGAGCAACTTAGCGGCCGCAGCATCGCCCCTTCCCAGAGCGACTCCTGCGCGCGAGAGCGAAAACTACGCCGAGCCGGCCACCCTCCCGCGCGATGTTCGTGCCCACGGGATGTGTGCCGGCCCCGGACTACCCAGCGCAGACCGGAGGGGGGCGTGGGCACCGCGGGCGGCGGGGCGGGGGCTGCCGAGCCCTGGGGCGGGAGGGCCGGGGGCGCTTTCTGGGGGGCCCGGAGGCTGGCAGGGGGCCGCCCGGCGCAGCTGCCGCGGAGTGCCGGGGCGGCTGTGCGGTGAGTGCGGCCTGGAGCGCGGGGCTGCGGGGAGGAAGGGGCTCGGTGGGGACGCAGGGCCGGGTGAGAGATGGGGCTGTCGCGCGGCGCTGGACCCACTGCCTGGAGGCTTCCTCGGCGGTGGATTCGCTCTCCCGGGAGTCGGGGGGATTTGCTCTCTCTTGGGAGTGCGGTGAGAGGGTGGGTCACGCCCTTCCTGTGGATGGTGCCTGCCGTGGACTGGGGACTGCTTGTCCTTCCATTTGTCCCTGTTCACCGCCAGGCTTAGCCCAGAACCATGGGATCTTGCTTCCAAGTTCATGAGTAGGATCCAGTTTCTTGAGGTTGTTGCTCTGAGTGTATGTTTCCCTGCTGACTCCTTTATCTCCTGGAGGCCCGTGACCCCTGTGTATCAGAGTCAGAGACAACACATGTCATTTCTTAGAATTCAGGTTGCTAACCCAGGCGCATAGCATCAGTTCCCTCTGCAGAGTCCGTTTTGCCGTGTAATGTAGCATACCCACAGATTCCAGGCATTCAGATGTGAACGTGCGTGGGTTGGGCATTATTGCTACCCCGATTGGGTCTCTATGTCCTCCTGGCCAAGGTCCCACTGGGATGAGAAGAACGAGATCTAAAATGAGGACAGTTTGTTACATTTTACAACGAAAAGACAAAATGTAGTTTAGAATAACCTGGAAGGGTACATGAGAAACTGGGGAGGGCGCTGAGTGGCTGGCTGGGAGATACCTAAGTCCTTTTCCTCCCTTTAAATTTTGAGCCGTAGAGTTGTACCCATTTGGTGGCAGTGGTAATGATTTCAAGAATCTTAAAATTAAACGAACTGCCTGAGTACTGCAAAGGAATGAGTCTCCCCTTGGGAGAGGGAGCTAAACACCCCCCCCCCCCCCCTTCCACACACACACCATGAAAGTGACATCTGCTCTGTTTTGCTGACACATGGACAGGTGCCTTAGGTCAGTGCTCTTCCTGCTTACCACTTTTACCAGGCTGATATTCCTAGTTCTGTCTTGTAACATAGAAATGTGGCTGGTGCCTGACCTTCACAGACAGCCAAGGCTTCTTACAGGCTGCCTCCCCGGAAACCCTGCCTCTGAACCCCAAGAACACCCCTTCCCTATCTCACCCATGCCTCCTTCCACCTTTCTAAGCAGTTCTAGCCTAAAACCCTTCTGCGCCTGGTTTAAATGCTTCCCAGCTCTAGGCCTTCGGCCCTTCCCTGCTGCCTTTGCCCAGAATACTTGCCCATCTCAACAATCCATTTGCTATCTTCTCTGTCTCCCCACTGAGTCCCTGCGTGTCAACTCTCACTGCTGTATCTATACAACATCCCAGACAAGTCCTGATTGGCATATAGTGGTGGTTGAGAAAACAAAAGATTTTTCCAATATGATAAATCCCACTTGGCCAGGCAGCTCAATTAGAGCGTCATGATTGATACAAAAGGCTTATGTAAAAGCACATACAAGAAACAACAATTGAATGCATAAATAAATGGAACAACAAATAAGTGTTTCCCCCCACCCCTCTTCCTCTCTCAAAACAATCAAAAAAAATTTTTTTTTAATTACAGTCCATAGGTTGGCAGGCAAAAATAGAAGGGTCAATGTACCCATTCTTGGTACAGTGTGAAAAACGGGTTAAGGAAGGGGTGTTACCCAACTCCTGGGTGAGCCGCTGGACACAGTGGATAATCACAAAGAAGGCGACTAGTATGGGTGGGGTGTCAGTGTCACTGCAGTGACACTGAGCTGGGAACCACAGTGCTCGCCATCAGCAGCCAGGTCCTGGAACCGAGTTCCCCACTGAATTCTTCTGGAGGGACTTTGTCTGTGTCCCCCTGCGATACCATTAGTTGTGTTACAATTAGAGGCAGAGTGCTTCATGAACTTGAGGGACCAAGGCTAGAGGCCAGAAAGGAAGTTGGCCTGGACTGGCTGCCCTGGTGTCCTGCGTCTGACACTTTGTCATGTATTCAGGGGGGAATGTTTTGTCTTCCTGCTCAGAAAGAACAGTTAGGGCTGGAGAGATGATCCCATTTTGGGAGTCTTTACAGAATAAGTGTTGTTTTTGTTTGTTTGCTTTATATATATATATATATATATATATATATATATATATATATATTTTTTTTTTTTTTTTAATATATTTTATTTATTTTTCACAGAGAGGAAGAGAGAGGGATAGAGAGCCAGAAACATCGATGAGAGAATCATCGATCAGCTGCCTCTTGCATACCCCCTACTGGGGATGTGCCCGCAACCAAGGTACATGCCCTTGACCAGAATCGAACCCGGGACCTTTCAGTTCGCAGGCCAACGCTCTATCCACTGAGCCAAACCGGTCCCGGCTGCTTTAAATATATTTTATTGATTTTTAACAGAGAGGAAGGGAGAGCGATAGAGAGTTAGAAACATCGATGAGAGAAACATGGATCAGCTGCCTCCTGCACACCTACTGGAGTTGTGCCCACGACCAAGGTATATGCCCTTGACTGGAATAGAACCTGGGATGCCAAACCATTGAGGGTGATAAGGGTTGTTGATGCCTCAGGCCTGGACAAATTGACCTAGGGAGTTGGTGTGGGCACAGAAGTAACCCTGGAACACCAACTCGAGAGATGAAGAGCCCTGGAGGGAGGCTCTAGTGCAGAGAGGAGGGCTCAGGAGGGAGGAAATGATATAAGGCTATCCATTGTGGATGCTGCCGGGAGGGCACAGCTCTAACAGAACTGACCACTATGATGCCACCATGACGACCGTGCACATGTATGCAGCACAGGCTGCCCCTAGCTACCCAAACGGGCTGCTGGTCTCCTGAGTGGGCCAAATGGTCCACCCTCGGGGCATTGTCAGGAAGGAGGGTGGGTCCAAAGTGGGTGAAGGCTCTGTGGGGGCTGCTCTCTTCCTGTCATGGCAGGCCTGGGCTCTTCCACAGTGTGCCCAAAGGCCACTGTGTACCCTCCCTACACACCTGGAGCTCTGGCTCAGGAATCTGTGTCCCTGTGGCTGGCTGACACTACTTGGATCCAGGATCAGGGAATGTGGTGGTGATCCCCGAGACTCAGCATCAGGCTCTCAAGCCTTGGGGTTACAGGGGTGGAGGATGGGTCCCTGGGGCTAGCCCTCCTGCAAATCAACAGTGTCCTTTCTGCCTCCAGGTCCCAGTCATGCCCAGCCTCAGAGCTCGCCCTGACGAGGCAGAAATGGAGCCCTCAGTTCCTGGACTATCCCCTTGCACCCCTTCAGCCCAAGCCTGTGTGAGTGATGCTACCACCATGACCAACCCTGCATCTGCATTCTGTGAGCCACTCGACTGCAGTGACACTGAGCTGGGAGTCACTCCCCCTCACCACCAGCAGCCAGGTACTGGGACTGAGTTCCCCACTGGACACCCCGACTACCCTGGTGTCCTGAGTGTGGCACTTTGGTTTCCCAGCCTGACATACAGGAGTGTAGTGTGATAGTTGCCAGCTGATCCCTGACTGTCCCAACCACCAGTGGTGATAGTCCTTTTCCCTCAGAGCTCTGCAGGTCTTGGCCTACTCTGTCTTCCTTCTCTCTGCCCAGCTGCTTCCATCCCCTTCAGAGCCGAGTCCTTCCTAACCACTCACGAGCTTTGCTCTTCTGTGGCCCTCCGTGGTGATCAGGATGGTTACTCAGGACTAGCTTTCTTCACTGAGACATGATGAGGGTTGTTGTGCAAGGGGACACTCTTGTGTCCTACGTGGGACTGTTATACTTGGGACATCTGGGCGGAGTAACCTAGTTAGAAACTCTGTGGCCAAGGAAGGCTAGGCTGATGGTGTGGGTCAGTCTTCTGTGTGTCAGAGGGGAGAGGCTGGGCCAGTAGCATGTGACATTCCTTAGTCACCTCGGTGCTCCCAGCCCTGGGGTTGCCACAGCATAGTGTGTCTGGACTATGGGTTGGATGATGCATAGGGGTCCTGGGCAGACAAACTGAGCACGTGGCAATGCCAGGTCTGCATGGAGAATAACAGAAGCATCCAGACAAGCCAGGGAGATAGTGCTATTGCGGTAGCAAGTTCCTAAAGTTCCAGGTGGTGGTGACTTAAATTGAGGGACAGGTTGGAAGGTGACGGGCCCAAGGAGGCTGGGAAGTACAAGAGGGGTGTCCTTCCTTGTCCACTCAGCACTGTTGACTGTGGCCAGACAAAGGGTTGCCCCAGCCCTGGGATGTGAGCTCTGTTGGGGCATAGTCTGGGCTGTGCAGGAGACAACAAGGAGTGGTGGTCAGAGAAGGCCTTTCCAGTGAGGTGTGTTCCATGCAAGGCAGACCCTAGAGGAGCGTATCTACCATGCTTGGGAAACAGCAAGAGCAGAGTTGGGGTGAGTGTGGGGAGTGACTAGGAGGATGAAGTGGGCTCCCTTCACCAGGATGCCTATGGGCGGGTGGAGGTGAGAGGCGCGAGGTGTGGCTCAATGTCCAAGCAGGAGAAGACAGCAGCAATATGGCCTGGGTGTCACAATTTGAATGAGACAGAGACTCAAGATCTTCATTCAAATGAGCAATTCAGGGGAACGAGGGTTTCCTTGTTCCTTTAGGAATAAAGAGACAAGAGGGAGGTGCCCAAACCCTCCTGGCGTGCCATGAGACCTTCAGAAAGATGGGCACAGCCACCTAGACAGTGTCCCAGAGAAAGAAAGTGTTCAGCTGACACAGTCCCATTTGCAGGTTTTAGCAGGGGAAGGTGAAGGTGGCTCTGGCAGGAGGACACGGTTTCTGAAGGCTCTGTGTTGAACAGCACAGAATCTGACATTGCACCAGCGTCCACACCACAAAGTTTTTTTGCTTCTCTGGGCCCACTTCCTACAAAAGCGATTTCCCACAACAAAGCCCAGAAGCCACTAGCTAGCACTCAGTGAAAAACAGATGGGCCCTTGAAGCTTACAGCATACATCATGGAAAAGAAAAATGGGTAGAGTGTTTACTAATGTCATGCAAGGCATGACATGTTTTCTCTGTATAGTGGGGCGGGGGGAGTGCCTGGGTTTGGGATACACACCAAGATACAGTCAACAGGACTCGTTGATGACCTGCTGTGGTTGAGAAGAAGGGCAGGCAAGGGCCTCTGGACTTTGGCCTAAACCAAGCATGTCAGACTTGTGGACCACAGGCCGCATGCAGCCAACAACGAATAGTTTTTGCAGTCCAGCAAATACAACAGTATGTAAGAAACGTTTTAATAAAAGTTTCATAACTTAATTTATTTCTAAACTATCCTTTATACATCATTATTTTTTAAACATATTTATTTATTTCAGAGAGGAAGGGACAGGGAGGAAGAGAGAGAGAATCATGGATCCGCTGCCTCCTGCACACCCCGCACTGGGGATCAAGAAATGACCTCCTGGTTCATAGGTCGACACTCAACCACGTTGGGCGGGCTATACATAATTATTAATAGCGAACCACAACATTCATTAATTATTGATTACTATAATCATGTTGCATTCATTTCCCTTATGTGCCTTATGTGCAGGCGCACCATTTCTCTCCACTAATGCTAGCAAAAAATATTTTAGCAACTGATTGCCACGTCTTGAGTTTTGGACTAACTTGTTGGTGTTTACAACATGAAATATTTACCTTTTGGGGAACAAGAATAATAGGTTTATTTGCATAATGCTTATTAATTTGTACAGTTATTCAGTGTCTGATAAGTTAATGTTCAAGAAAAAACTTTTTCATAAAATGTTATTTTATGTTAACGATTACTCATTTATTTCAGCCCTTTGTTTTTAGCATGTCTCTATCGAAATAAACCTACGTTTTATGAAAATTAAAGTTTTTTTTGCAGCCCACATAAACTTAAACCTTGTTTACTTGTAACATGTTTGCCTTTGAGTTTGACATGCTTGGCCTAAACCGATAGACTGCAGGTGATTTCCTGAGATGTGGGTACTGGGGCAGGCCGCTTAAAGTTGGTGTTCCCTTGCCATACTACCTTGTACTTTTGGAACTTCCCTGCCCCTCCCTGGTCCGCAAAAGAGATCTGGCACTAACACCCCCGGTGGGTCCCACACTCCCAGACTGTATTTTCCTGTTTCCTTCCAAGTTACTTATGTTTGTCGTTTCAGATTGGGACACCAGGATTGAGGGAAAGGAGTTTCTTGAGAAAGAAGACGTTTCTGAGGATTTAGACGCACAGGCAGAAATATTAGAAAACTGTACCAGTGATGTTTCCCTGGAACCTGAGCTCGGAGAACTTTGTGAGGATTTATTAGAAAGAGACTGGGGAGTCCATGATGACACCAGTCAGGTGCAGTCCCTATGCGGAGAGGAGGACCTCACACCAGTGGCAGTGCTCCTTACCAATCCCGTAGGGGAGAGAGAGATGCACTGTGGTGATTTTGAAAGGAGCTTTAGTCGGAGCCCACACTCAGCAGCATATCAAGGAATCTCTGTGGAAGAGAGGCCACATCTGTATCCATGTGGCCAAAGCTTCCAACACAGCATGGACCTAACTAGCCATGAGAGTCCCCACACAATTGAAAGCACCTTCATATGTAATGAATGTGGAAAAACCTTCCTAGGAAACACTGATCTTATTCAGCATCAGATCATCCACATGGGACAGAAGTCCATCATAGGCAGTGAATGCAGAAAAGCCTTCAGCCAGAATTCAGCTCTTAAAAATCATCGGAGATCTCATGTGAGTGAGCCCTACCAGTGCAGCGAATGTGGAAGAGCATTCCATGTGCACGCAAACCTCATTAGGCATCAGGTCACCCATGGTGGAGAGAAGCCTTATGTTTGCAGTGACTGTGGAAAAGCCTTCAGCCAGAATTCCAGCCTTAAGAAGCACCAGAAGTGTCACATGAGCAAGAAGCCCTATGAATGCAGTGAGTGTGGGAAGGCTTTTAGGCGGGGCTCCAACCTTATCCAACACCAGAGAATTCATTCTGGGGAGAAGCCTTATGTGTGCAGTGATTGTGGGAAAGCCTTTAGGCGGAGCTCCAACCTCATCAAACACCACAGGATTCACACAGGTGAGAAACCTTTTGAGTGTAAAGAGTGTGGGAAGGCGTTCAGCCAGAGCTCACATCTGAGGAAGCACCAGAGGGTTCACACTGGAGAGAGACCTTATGAGTGTAATGAGTGTGGCAAGCCATTCAGCAGAGTCTCCAACCTCATTAAGCATCACCGGGTTCACACAGGGGAGAAGCCCTATAATTGCAGTGACTGCGGGAAGGCCTTCAGTCAGAGTTCAAGCCTCATTCAACATAGGAGAATTCACACTGGAGAGAAGCCTCATGTGTGTGATGTGTGTGGAAAAGCCTTTAGTTACAGCTCAGTGCTCAGAAAGCACCAGATAATCCACACGGGAGAAAAGCCCTATGTGTGTGGTGTCTGCGGGAAGGCCTTCAGTCACAGCTCCGCCCTCATTCAGCACCAGGGTGTGCACACGGGTGACAAGCCCTACGAGTGTCAGGAATGTGGGAAGACCTTTGGCCGCAGCTCTAACCTAATCCTTCACCAACGAGTTCACACTGGAGAGAAACCCTATGAATGTACTGAATGTGGGAAAACCTTCAGCCAGAGCTCAACTCTCATTCAGCATCAGCGAATCCATAATGGATTGAAACCCCATGAGTGTAACCAGTGTGGTAAAGCCTTTAACCGAAGCTCAAACCTCATTCACCACCAGAAAGTTCACACTGGAGAGAAGCCATACACATGCATTGAGTGTGGTAAGGGCTTCAGCCAGAGCTCACATCTCATTCAACATCAGATCATCCACACCGGAGAGAGGCCCTACAAGTGCATCGAGTGTGGGAAATCCTTCAGTCAGCGCTCGGTCCTTATCCAGCACCAGAGGATTCACACTGGAGTGAAGCCCTACAACTGTACTGCCTGTGGGAAGGCCTTCAGCCAGCGCTCAAAACTGCTCAAGCACCAGCTGACCCACACCAGGGCGTGAAGCCACCCGAAGCTGCCGTGAGGCTCACTCCCTGCCCTCCACCCACAATCTGTTCACAAAGTCTGGGACCCTCCACTTGGGTGTTGTTCGCACACTTTCTCTGCCTCCCTCCTGCCATTGCAGCCACCTGAGGTGACCTTTTGGTTCTTTTTCATTTTGTCTTTACATGTTATGAGCCATGTTTGTTGGTAGGGAAAAGATAGAGGCTGGCCTAGCGGGTTTGGTTCAGTGGATAGAGCCTCAGCCTGTAGACTGAAGGGTCCTAGGTTCAATTCCTGGTCAGGGGCACATACCTGAGTTGCGGGCTCGGTCCCCAGTTGGGGGGCATGCAGGAGGCAGCTGATCCATGATTCTCTCTCATCATGGATGTTTCTCTCTCCCTTCTTCTCTGAAATCAATAAAAAATATTTTTTAAAAAGATAGAGGCTGCATATTTATGAAGAATTTATTACTGTAAACAAATGTAACAAAAAAAAAAAAAGTAGGCATTTGCTTCAAGGTAACCACAGTAATTCTTTTGTTTGGTAATTAGTCACAAGGAGGGAGTCCTTTGCCAGTGGCTGTAATCCATGTTGTGTTTACATTAAATCAGGTTGAGAGTATGTCAGGTCTGACTGCTGTCACCCTCTCCCAGTGTGGTGTGTACTCATACCAGCAATCCCTCACCTTCCTGTCCACTGCTGTTACTTTTCCTTTGTGCCTATTTGTAGTCTGATCCCATGCTTTTTCCTTCACGGCTCTGCTGCTATCCAACCCCCTGCTCAGGGCCGATATACAGTGCCACATGCAGCTGTTTTCTGCCTCCAGTTCTGTCCTTTACATCCTGGCATCAGCTCCACAGAGGACAGCTCTCCTTGCCCCATCTGTTCTCCCTACTATCTCCAAGGCTTGGGGTTTTACCCCAGGCCCATTCACCAGACATTTATAAAGCACCTGCTAGGTGCCCCAGATGGAGACCGGCCCTCAGTTTCCTAGAGCTGTGTTCACATTCCCCGAACAAGGGGGACTTGATAAAAAAAAAAAGCAACACTTTTGCTACCAGGAGGCCTCTGGTTGCCAGCTGCCAGGTCTCAGCCTGGTGGTGTCATAGGGTGGATGGATGGACAGGCCCCTCCTGCATTGTTCCAGGAGGAGAGGACATGGATAGTGTAGTCAGGTTTGTAACTGCGGTGGGGAAATAAGGGTTTGGCTTCTGTTTACACTGAGGAAAGAGGTTGTAGGAGGCTTGCAAAAGGTGGGCCAGAATGGGCTGCCCCAGAGACCATCAATGGTAGCCCATCACTGCTCACTCAGACACAGGTTCTCTTCACCCCAACAGCCCCCAACCCGTGTTCACGAGGTAGCACTCTAGAGCATGCTGCCCTGTTACCTATCACTCACTTGGTCTCTCAGCCTCCTGGGAGGCTCCAATCTGCTAACACACGTGCTCCCTCTTCCCTCTCTGGCATCACATTTCTCCTCCAGCATGAATTTAATGCTCTCTTTTTTTTATGCGAGTGCTTGCTGGCCCTCACTGGGATACAGCAGGAAACGACAGAGAGAAATGGTTGTGCTTGAGAAGTTAATATCTAGTGAGCGAGGCCATGACACAGTGTAAAGCAGGGAATGGGGTCTGGGACGACCTTGGCCCCCAGCTTCACAGTCCTCGGTAGAGACTGGGGGAAGGGGGGGAGATGTGATAAGCGGAGTTCCATGGAGAAAGCTGCTTTCACGACTGTTAGGAGGACGCTGGCGCACACCAGTTCGGGGTCCCCGGCTGCCTAATCGCGCACATCCTCCACTGACCTGCCTCGGCCTGGGTTAGACCGACCCCTACAGCACCGACCTGCGCTGCTGAATTCCTCCTGAGACCTCTGAGCGCCGAACCACCTGTGCTAGATGGAGGGTTACCCCCACGGCTCCTCCCAGGTGGCCGGGACCTTCCCTCTCGGGACTCCTCTCCCTAGTGCCCGCAGGCGCCGCGATGCCGCCCACCGGCGAGCCAGCACCGGCGAGGCGGTCTCTGTCTTCTTCACAACCACCGCCAGGCCCTCCCTCGCGGGGTCCCGGAGCAGCGGACAGAAGCTCCGCCACGGAGGGAGCGGCAACCCGCACAAACGGATTAGAGACCCGCCATCGCACAGGTCAAAAGCCGGGCGCCAGCGAGGTATCTTCGTCCCCGGAGATGGAGCCGGGAGAAGCGGGGCGGAGTGGGGGCGCCGAAAGCCCCGAGGAGGCCGCCGGAAGTGCGGCCAGTGGCCTCTCTAGGCGGCGAGGTGGCCTCTCTAGGCGGCGCAGAGACCTCCGCCGATCTCGGTGGCTCCGGGGCGCGCGCCTCGCTGTCACTCAGGAGAAAGTCGTCGAGAGGGGGCAGACGTCCTGGCTGGGAGACGCCGCGCTCTGGGATTGGTGGTCCAGGAGAGGGAGCGGGGCCTATGGAGGCAGGGGCCCCGCGGATTGGCGGAAGCGCGCGCGAGGCGGGGCGTCCCCTTTGTTCCCGAGCGCAGCGGACGGCCGCCCCTCGGAGGGTGAGGCTGCTGTGTAGACGGTGAGTGAGCGCGGTGGGCGCGGGCCAGCGGGACTTCTGCCCTCACCGTCCCCGCACGAGCCCAGCGCTTCCCCAAGAACCCGCGCCGTACCCTCCTTTCGCGGCGGCCCCCTCCTGCGAGGACGCGCCGGAGCCCGCGCCCTTCCCCAGACCCCAGCCAGCCCCACCCCGGCCTCTGCCCCGCCCCGGCGCCCTCCCCTCCCCTGCGCGGTCAGGCCCTCCCCGGCCCCTCTGCCGCGGACGGCGGGCCTCGACGCGTTCGGAAGGGGGCAGCGGGCCCGGGAGGGAGGGGGGTCGGCCTCGGGAGCGCCGCGCTCCCCGGAAGCCTCCTGCGGGGCCCGTGGCGAAGGCGCTTCTCGCCGCCTCTCACCCCCTCCCCGCGGCGCCGTCTTGTTCCCGCTGCTTAGTAACTGAGTCCCTTTTCCAATGAACGAGGCCAGCGTTTTCTGACGTGGTTTGCAGATTTCCCCTTGTTTATTACCTGCTTACTGTCGTAGTAGACAGTAACATGCAATAATTTCCGAAAGGCCCAAACGCGTGCTCGCTTCGGCAGCACATATACTCGAAAAGCACAAACGCCGTCCATGTAAACAGTGGAAGTCCTTCCGCAAGCAGCGGCCCCTGGCCGGTTCGCTCTGTGTCCTTCCCGGGTCCACCTTACCTGCGCTTTAAAAAAACCCCATATATATATTTATTATTGATTTTTTACAGAGAGGAAGAGAGAGGGATAGAAAGAAACATAGATGAGAGAGAATCATCGATCAGCTGCCTCCTACACATCCCATACTGGGGATGTGCCCGCCACCAAGGTACATGCCTTTGACCGTATTCGAACCCGGGACCTTTCAGTCCGCAGGCCACCGCTCTATCCACTGAGCCACACCGGTTTCGGCCGCTTTTTTGCTTTTAATGTAAAAGGAGGCTCTGGCGAGAGGGACGTGGGCTTTCCCTGCTGAGACCGCCTTCCCGCCTTCCCAGCGGGACCGGCAGCGACCCCAACCCCTGCAGGCCACCCGCCCTGGGCGGTGGACGAGGTCCAGGCCGGGGCCTCCTCCTCGATGTGCCGCATTCTTGCCAGGTCAGTGTCTTACATTAATTTCCGTTCTGGAGATGGATGAGGCGGACACTTTGGTGTGACTGGCCTCTGTGTTTCCTTTGTGATGTGCCAGTTCATAGTTTCCATAATCGTTGAAAACGTTCTTCTCAAATGATCGCTCTGTTCTGGTTTGGGGTTCTTTTAGGTGGAAAAACCTCCTGTGTTTAATGGTCAAATGCTTACCTTTAAGGCCTTGTGTTGTTTTACGGGCTCTCCCCAATCCACAGTTATTTTTACAATACACTCTTGTTTTTCTCTGATCCTGGTAAAATGTTGGGTCCATCTGGAATTTGTTTTGGTGTGGGTGACCTGGGAATACAGCTTCATTCTCTACCACCCCTCACCCCCAAGTCATGCTATTTCCAAGTGTACTTCATAAATAATACATATTCTCATTGATTTGGAAAACCACTGATATTGTGTATTACATTCTTACATGTCTTTAGGCCCACTTCTGGATTTTGTGGCGGTTTTGATCTGCATAATATTTTTATTTTGCGAGCAGATCTGCAACCCAAGCATTCTGTTTTGGGTATTTAGAAAAGCCCTTCCTACTGAAATTAATGAAAACTTACCTGCATTTTTATTCTAGTTATTTTATGATTGATGTAATTTGAAATGTTATCTAATATTCGTTAATTAGCTTAGTGGGTAATTAGACTTTCCGTATAATATAGGAAATTATCTGTTTCGTCCTATTTTTTTGTTTGTTTCCTCGCCTTGGCTCTACTTTCTTCAAGATTAATTGAGGTTTGTGTAAAGGTGGTTTCATTTTCTCAGAACATGGAGCCCTTTGTCCTGGCACCACGCACTGAGTCATCTTCCCACAGCGACACGAATCTGAGCCGGGCCTGCACTGCGGTTCTGAGCTTCATCCCGGCATCTGGCTCTTGTCCAGGCTTTGTGGGTGCAGTGTGCAGGATCAGCAGCATGTTTCCTTGCCATTTGTGACTAGAGTCTTTCCCCCATGTTTCTGTTATGGATTGGTAGTGTAAGGAATCTCATGGCTCACATGTCTGTTTGTGGTCACTTACTGGGCTCAGAGCTGCCTCTTCTGAAGGTGTTTCTCCATGGACATGATGGGGCAAGGCATTCCTGCACGAAAACCTGGGGGTGAGAGGGGAAGGGGAGGAAGGGAGCTCTCAGAGCCGCCCAGCCCAGGACTCGGAGGGTGTCTGTCACAGCTTGTCACGTGACTTTGGAAGGACAGGCATGCTGGCATCAAGACCGTCATCAGAAATGACTGCTCTGCCTGTGGAATACCCTGCTATCGGTCTCAATGCTTCAATAATAAACTCACTTTTGCTTAAAACTTTTAAAAAACAAACAAACAAAAAAACAATAATGAATTCCAACAAAGGTGTTAAGTTCCTAAAACTTACCTTAAAAAACAAATTAATAAAAAAAAGTTAAGTTCCAAGCTCTTGGCTTCTCTGCAATCCCCTTTTTAGGTCTTATCCATGTTCTTAATTTGTCCTGCAAAGCAGTCATTGGATACCATTAGAGTTCCATTGCACTTACACACACACATTTGGGGATAATAGGCATTTTGGGTGAATAGAAGGGCAGATGCCGTGAGTTCAGTGTGTATCTTCTGGAAAGGTGTCAGGATAAACAGGCACCCACATCATGTATTGAAAAGAAAGCAGGGCTGTGGCGCCCCCTCCATGTGGCCTAGAGTGCATTCTCCAGATGGGTGCCTCTGTTGTTCCCGGTGTGGTCTGCCTGCTGGGCTCCTGTGTCCTGTTGCAGACTCCTGTCAGCACTCCGGAAAATGTGAGCCCCATTCCCGTCGGGACATCCACTGGTCCCTCCTTTTGTCCAGCACGACAGAGTGACAGAGATCTCAGCTTCACTTGTCCAGAACCTGGCCTCCCTGTCAGAGGCTTAGACCAAATTCCCGATTCTCTCCAGACTCACTTTATCAGAACCCAACTTCCCACGAGGCACCAGGGCTGCCAGGCACAGCTAGCAGAGCTGCGGTGTCAGTAGTCACCATGGAGGGTCATGGCCAAGCCAAACATGCAGGGCCTGGGGGTGGGTTCCCTGTAGGAGTTTGGGCCTTGAGCAGAGCCATCCCTCCCAGCCTCTCCTCTTGGGGGGTTGTCTCTGGGGTAGCCTGGACTGGCACCCACACCAAACCAGAGGACCACTGGCAACCGTGCTCATGCTGTCGGTCTTGCATAGGCCCTTGTGAGCAGACTGTAGGCCAGGCCTGATACGGGGGACAGATGGCCCAGAGTCCTCAGGTGCACAAGTGTCCCCAGGGATGGTCTTTACCTTCCTGGGTCCACTCCCAGGGATGGTGTGGTTCTTTGTTTTGTTTTGTTTTTGTTTTGTTTTTGTTTTTTGCATTGCACTTTTTTAATTGCATGGGTAGTTTTAAATTGGTGTGGTTCTTTGACTCTTGAAGAGTCAGGTCAGACCTCACAGAGGGCAGGGCTCCCCAGAAATCAGACTCTGCAGGGCAAGGCCAGGCTCTTCATGTGCTCCCTCCTCTTTCTCAGCCCCACAGGATTCTTCGAGTTCCATCTTCATAAGACACTCCAGGGAACCGGGCGATGGCAGCGGCCAGTCTCCTGCCACCAGCAGCAGGACCCCAGGTGAGCTGCCCCTGAGGCATTTTCTCCCTCGCCCAGTGCTCCTGGTGACAGCCTGAGTATATATATGTCTCCTGAAGTCTATGATCCCTTCCTGTCACCCCATTAGCTCCCAGGGAATCTCCATGTGTCATAGGGTTTCCCCCCAATTTTGGGGTATACCTCACTCCATGTTGCTTGCAACCACTTTTTCTTCTTCTTTTTAATATATTTTTATTGATTTCAGAGAGGAAGGGAGAGACAGAAATATCAGTGATGAGAGAGAACCACTGATCGGCTGCCTCCTTCACACCCCCTACTGGGGATCGAGCCCGCAACCCGGGCACATGCCCTTGACCATAATTGAACCTGGGACCCTTCAGTCCTCAGGCCGATGCTCTATCCACTGAGCCACACCGGCTAGGGCACACCCACTCTTTCTTAGACGTGGAGACGTGGCCTGACCTACAGCAGCCCCTGTCATTTCAGGTGAAGGTGACCTTCGAGGATGTGGCTGTGCTGCTCTCCCAGGAGGAGTGGGACCAGCTGGGCCCTGCTCAGAGGGGCCTTTACCGACACGTGATGATGGAGACCTACGGGAACGTGGTTTCCCTGGGTAAGGCCCCTCAGCAGGCCAGTCTGTGTCTGTGAGCTTCCCAGGGCAGGGCCATACAGGAGCGGCGGGAGGGGCGGCTTGGAGTTTCCTCAGGCTGCTCAGCTCCGGAGGGAGGCTCGTGCTATCTCCCACCCACAGGTTGGGTGGGTCGCTCTACACAAAAGACCTTCCTTCCTCTGAGCAGGACTTCCAGGAACCAAGCCCAATGTGATCTGCCAGCTGGAGCGAGGAGAGGAGCCCTGGGTCCTGGACGGGCATGGGGCCAAGGAGAGCCAGGGCCTGGGCAACAACAATTTGGGTGAGTGAGAGGAGCTGGCACACCTGCGCTAAGGGCTGAGCACGTCCCAGTGGCTGGGAGGAAGCAGATGGCTTCCAGCTGGGGCCTCCCAGGAAAGGAATATGGGTTGGCGTGACTGAGCCAGAGATGAGAACACACTTGTGATTCTGCCTGCATGTACTTATGGGATGTGCAGAGTATGAAGGTTACCTGGTTCACTGAAAAAAGAGCGGCCCTAACTGGTTTGGCTCAGTGGATAGGGCATTGGCCTGCGGACTTGAGGGCCCCAGGTTCGATTCTGGTCAAGGGCATGTACCTTGGTTGCGGGCACATCCCCAGTAGGAGGTATGCAGGAGGCAGCTGATCGATATTTCTCTCTCATCAATGTTTCTAACTCCCTCTCCCTTCCTCTCTGTAAAAAAAAAATCAAATTATATGTAAGAAAAAAAAAAAAATGAAGCACCCTAGTGTGGAAGGGAGGTTAACCTGACCCTGTGGTAGAGTATTTATGATTGTCTACTTGGAAAAAAGTTGATTAGAATTCACAATCCATTAGGGAAAAACTCAGTTTTACTTCATTCATCAGCAACGAAGGTGTGATATTTTCCCCAGTTTTATTGAGATAAATCTTATCTGCTGTCCTCCCGGCTGTCCCCGAGGCTCCACCTCTGGCCTAGACTTGTCTCTGCCGTCTTGCTCCCCAGCACAATCTACATGAAGAGCTCACAGCTCCTCGAGCACAAGTCTGTGGTATTGTGTCTGTGGGATTGTCTGTGCAGTGCATGTAGTAGTACGTCGCTCTCTGCCCAGCGAGGCTCCCTGAAGTCATGGATGATCCTGCATTTATTTCTGCTCCCAATGGCCTCTGGGAGCCCCGTGCACAGAGGACTCCTGGGAGAGCAAGACTCAGGCTGCTTCCTTGGGCATGTGTTCCTCACACAGGAGTGACCTCAGGCTAGAGGTTTACCTTTCAGCCTGGACACCTCTCTTGTTTGATACCACTGTGCTGTCCCATCCTCTCCGCCCACACCTCTGTGGCCATCCCTCGGCAGCCACCTTCAGGGGTACACCTGAGCTGCAATTTGAGGGGGTTAACAGTTGTTAACATTTTCCTTTTGGATGTGTGGTTTCAGAATATGAGAACAAGGAAAGGAACCAAAGTAGTTTGAAGCCATTCATTTCAGAGGAATTATCCGTGATTCTGGATAAAACTCCCCCAGGGTGGATTGATGAAGGAAATTATAAACCTGAACAGAGCTTCTGTCTGAGTCCAAGCCCTGCGAGCCCCCCTGAAGTTCAGGTTTGCAGCCCAAGCAAGCCACCCAATCAGCAGCCGGCTGCTTCCGGGGGGGAGAGACCTTACAAGTGCATCGAGTGTGGGAAATGCTTTGGCCGGAGCTCCCATCTCCTCCAGCATCAGAGGACCCACACCGGGGAGAAGCCCTACGTGTGCGGGGTCTGTGGGAAGGCCTTCAGCCAGAGCTCGGTCCTCAGCAAACATAGGAGGATACACACAGGCGAGAAGCCCTATGAGTGTAATGAGTGCGGAAAGGCGTTCCGTGTGAGCTCAGACCTCGCTCAGCATCACAAGATCCACACGGGAGAGAAGCCCCATGAGTGTCTCGAGTGCCGCAAGGCCTTCACTCAGCTCTCACACCTCATTCAGCACCAGCGGATCCACACAGGGGAGCGGCCCTACGTGTGCCCACTGTGTGGGAAGGCCTTCAACCATAGCACCGTGCTGCGCAGCCACCAGCGGGTGCACACGGGGGAAAAGCCCCACGAGTGTGCCGAGTGTGGCCGGGCCTTCAGCGTTAAGAGGACACTGCTGCAGCACCAGCGGGTGCACACTGGGGAGAAGCCTTACTCCTGCAACGAGTGTGGGCGCGCCTTCAGCGACCGCTCTGTCCTCATCCAGCACCACAACGTGCACACGGGCGAGAAGCCCTACGAGTGTGGGGAGTGTGGCAAGGCCTTCAGCCACCGCTCCACCCTGATGAACCACGAGCGGATCCACACGGAGGAGAAGCCCTACGGCTGCTACGCCTGTGGCAAGGCCTTTGTGCAGCACTCACACCTGATCCAGCACCAGCGGGTGCACACCGGAGAGAAGCCCTATGTTTGCAGCGAGTGTGGGCACGCCTTCAGTGCACGGAGGTCTCTGGTCCAACACGAGAGGATACACACCGGTGAGCGGCCCTTCCGCTGCACACAGTGCGACAAGGCATTCAGCCTGAAAGCCACGCTGATCGTGCACCTGAGGACGCACACGGGAGAGAGGCCCTATGAGTGCAGCCGCTGCGGGAAGGCCTTCAGCCAGTACTCTGTGCTCATCCAGCACCAGAGGATCCACACTGGTGAGCGGCCCTATGAGTGCGCTGAGTGTGGTCGAGCCTTCAACCAGCATGGGCACCTGATCCAGCACCAGAAGGTGCACCAGAAGCTGTGACCTCGGCAGCCACATGTCGCTCTCGCTTGGGCACACACTCAGGAAGCCCCCAGCTCAGCAGAGGCTCCTGTCAGCTGCATAGGAAGCCCTTTGGTAATTGAGGGTTAGAGTAATTCCAGGGAGAAGCACTGAGCTCATCACTCCTGGGGAATAACTTCAGAGTGCCAGTTTTATTTTTTTTCAACATCTTGAAGTCTTATTGGAGAGTAATCACAGTTTAGTGGATTTTGGTAAAGACAGTCATAATTCTTTAACATTTGACAGTTTAAATTGAGAAACTTAAGCCCTACCTGGTTTGGCTCAGTGGATAGAGCATCAGACTGCGGACAAAAAGGTCCCATGTTTTATTCTGGTTAAGGGCACATGCCTGGGTTGCGGGCTCGATCCCCAGTGCTGGGGAGGGGAGAATGATTTCTGGTCTGAGGGCAGGGGGCAGCCCATCAATGATTTCGCTTATTGATGTTTCTATCTCTCCCTCTCCCTCTCTGAAATCAATAAAAATGTTTAAAGAAATAATAAAATAAAATAAATTGAGATACTAAAGGAAACCAAAGCATAAGGATTATTGTAACAATAAAACTTGTTTACATCACAAATAAAGGTTTCTTCTTAGAACATTTCATGCCTTTCCTAAAGACAATGATTATTCTAATTATTACACTTAGAATTAGAATGTTGGACTATTTTCTGTTAAACACTTGTGTCTATGGATGAAATTATATGAGAAACATATATATTTTTTATTGATTTCAGAGAGAGACAGAAACATCAATGATGAGAGAGCCTCATTGATCGGCTGCCTACTGCACGCCCCCTTCACCCCCCATTGGAGATCGAGCCAGCAACCCAGGCACGTGTTTCTGACCGGAATCTGACCCCAGTCCATAGGCCAGTGCTATATCCACTGAGCCAAATTGGCTAGGGCTCATTATGACTTTTCTTGATCAGATGCCATGGACCTCTTGGTGAACATAGGCTCAGTGTCCGTAGAGCTGGGAGCGAGCACAGGGAGGCTCCTGGGCTGTGCATTTCTGCCGCAGGAATGGGAGGTGACACACCAGCTGCTGGGCCATGAAGTGGCCCTGGCATGAGAGGCCAAAATGATCTGGGGATCCTCTCACTCCTACTGCCTTCTCATCCATTACTTCCCAGCTATGACTTGTCAGTAGCATTTCACACTTATTTCAAAGTCTGCACATTTTATGTATTTAACTCTATAGTATTTCTCCTTACAGATAGCGAGAATTTCAAATTTTCTATTGGGGAACATTTTAGTCCACCTGAAATTTGTTTCTGTGTAACTGTATAACCTGACATACCTTCCAATAAAAAAAAGCAATGAGAAAAACCTATTTGTGGGTGAAAATAAAGCAGTAACTTTGGTGTAAGGAATTTCTATAAATAAGGGAAAATACTGCCAGGAAAACCTGAAAGAGACCCGTGTACCAATTCCAAACAATTAGGAACATAGCTGTGAAGGCGTGGGGATGGCTGCTACTGTTACTAGTAAAATTAGACTCACCAGGTGTGGGGACACAATGCATGATCCACCTCTGGAGCAGATGGCCCTAAGAAAGGCGGGCACTACTGGAAGACACGCTGGGGAAGCTGGGCCACTCCATGCAGAGGGCCTAGTGGCCAAGGCCCAGGATGATCCTTCCCGGGCGTGGATTTGGCCAAGGGCAGAGAAAGGTCACAGGTATGGTACCAGGAGCACGGGGTCTCTGCCATGGGCCACCTGGGTGAATATAAAAAATGCTTGTCATGCATAAAAGTTCTCAACCTGAGAAATGAATTTGACATGATGTGGAGTTCAAGGGTCCCCAAGACTTGCCAATCAAAAGTTCACAGGTCACCATCACCCTCAATTTCAATAATTTGCTACACTGACTCAACTTGCTCTGAAAGCTGACTACACTGTATTACAGGGAACAGGCATTAAAATATGCCAGGTAAGGGATTTCATGGGGCAGAATCTAGGAAAAATACCAAATGCAGGGATTTTGTTGTCTTCTCTCTGGTAAGTCAGCTTTCCCTTCTAGGACACATATGTAAATGTTCAAGAGGTATTGCCACCCAAGGAAGCTCACTTGATCCTTGCCATTCAGTTATTAGTTTGGTGACATCAACAGCTGCCCGCCGAAAACATTTGGCTCTGGATAAAGCATCTACCTGCAAACTCAGGCACATCCCATGTTCAGGTAGGTGGTCATCATGTAGTGCCCTGCAGCCATTCTCACTGGCTCACAAGGGATTCTTGGATGCCCTGGTCCTAATGCCTGATGGGTTAGGGTCTCACTTTTAAAAAAATATATATATATTATTGATTTTTCACAGAGGAAGAGAGAGGGATATAGCCAGAAACATCTATGAGATACATCAACCAGCTGCCTTCACAACTACAACCCCCACTGGGGATGTGCCCGCAACCAACGCATATGCCCTTGACTGGAATCAAAACCGGGACCCTTCAGTCAGCAGACCGATGCTCCATCCATTGAGCTAAACCGGTTTTAACTAGGTCTCACTTTGATGTCTGCTTAGCAGCCTCTACCACCTTTGACATAACTGGCAGAAAATGTGGGAATAGGTATCATTAGCTGTGGCCAAAAAGGAAGCCCATGAGAGTTCTGTAGCTTCAGACATCCACACCCTCACCTACTTTCTTCCATGCTCAGGACACAGGTCCATTTGTTGGATGCTCCAGAGATTCCAGGAACATGAAGGTGTGATTGGATCAAGCACCCCCACCCCCACCTGAGCTGCCTCTGCTCAGTTGTCCTCCCAGCAGAATACCTCCCTCTGAAACCACAGACAGCACAGCTTAGTGGCAGGAAAACAAACTTTATTGAGTCCCCCGCCCTAGTTCTCTTTCTCCTGTACAGTCTTGGTTCCCCGTAGACGCCCAGTCCGGCGAGCGGCAATGAGACCCACTTTTCGGCCAGCAGGAGCATCTCTGCGGATGGTGGAGGGTTTGCCGATGTGCTGATGGTTGCCACCTCCAAATGGATGCTCTACAGGCTGCAAACAAAGGGAGGTAGTGTTAACGTGTGGTGGTCCAATCTATCTAAGGGAGAGGTTGGGGAAGGGGCTGGATCAAGAGGCCTATACTATACTATGAATTGTCACCCAAATTCCCCACCTGAAGGGAGATCCCAAAGGACCTGCCTTCCCAACCTCAGGCCCTGTATCCTAAATACTCCCCCCTGCCTATTACTGGGCTACTTACGTTCATGGCCACACCCCGCACACGTGGCCAGCAATTTCTCTTTGCTTTATACTTGTGGTAGGCACGTCCAGCCTTCAGGATGGGCTTGTCAATGCGGCCACCTCCAGCCACCACACCTGTTGAGGATAATTGGACAATTCAGAAAGGTGCATCATATTCTCTCATCAGACAGAATATTCCCTGCTGGTCTTTCTCAGCACCCCAACACCTGCACGAATCACCTTCTCTGTATTGTCATATAGCATCACAAAATTCACAGAAGTGCCAGTAACACTTGGCAACTACCACCCAGAAACCCCCTAGTAACTGACAGCAAGCCTGTTCAGGCTCCATGGGATGCCAAGCAACACATTTACCCATACCATGTCACCTAGAATGCCTATCTCAATCCAGGTTTTTCCAGGGAAGCCATCCCTGTAACACATCTGACATGGGCAGGTCACTCAACCTTTGAAATCCAACGTGATGCTGAACCACCATACCGTGTATCTTGGCCAGCTTTACCACAGGACTTGAAAGCATTGTCAAACAGTACAGTGAACAAACCTGGGTGCAAATCCTTTTTAATACACATACTGGGCAATTTCATGGTAATTACACATCTCTGAAAAGGTGGTTAGCAGGTGAAGGTAGGGGCAGGAACCAAGAAAGTTTAAAGTATGGAATACAGACAAGTCCAGTAGGTTAAACCTACTGGACTTGTCTGTATTCTACCTTAACTCCCACCCAGGAATGAAGCAGATTCCACTGTGCCCACTTTTCAAATATTACAACTCAAAAAAAAAAAAAAAAAATATATATACACACACACACACACGCACACACACACACACTCTCAAGATCACAGAGCCTACACTTTATTGCATTGGGAAGTTGGGTTCCAAGGCCAGGGTGTACCGGCTTGCTAGCTGTTCACAAGCGACTAAAAACATTCAACTGCTGCCTGACACTCACCAACCACAGCTCTGTTAGCAGAGGAAATGACCTTCTTGGATCCCGAGGGCAATTTCACTCGCGTCTTTTTGGTCTCTGGGTTGTGGGAGATGACCGTGGCATAATTTCCAGAAGCCCGGGCCAACTTGCCCCGATCACCAGGCTTCTCCTCCAGGCAACACACGATGGTGCCCTCAGGCATGGTGCCCACAGGGAGCACATTGCCAATGTTCAACTGAGCTGCAAGGGAGAGCATCCAGGAAGTCAGTCAATATGGTGAGATGGCACTTTCGAAACAAACAAAAAAAAACAAAACCCATTTTTATGGGCCAAAACCGGTTTGACTCAATGGATAGAGCGTCGGCTTGGGGACTGAAAGGCCCCGGGTTCGATTCCGGTCAGGGGCATGTACCAGTAGGGGTGTGCAAGAGGCAGCTGATCGATGACTCTCATCGATGTTTCTAACTTTTTATCTCTCTCCTTTCCTCTCTGTACAAAGTCAATAAAGTATATATATATATAAAAAAAAAAAACCACACAAACAAACCATTTTTATGGATTTCAGAGGAAGGAAGAAAACCATGAATGAGAATCATCCATCAGCAGCCTCACCCCACTAGGGATGAGACCACAACCCGGCAAGTGCTCAACAAGAAACCAATCGGTTACCTACTGGTTCATAGGTCAATAATTAGTCTAAAACAGCCGTATGGTAGGTTAGTTTTTAACGACTGCTGGCCAGAGGCAACGCAAATCCACTCTCTCCTGAAAACACCCCAAAATGGCCACTGCACACAGGTTATGTTCGGCACGGCATGGTTCACCGTGGGGCTTTTTCTTAAAAGCCTAGGGGGGGAACCCTCCCACTGCAATCCCATCCTCCCATCGAAGCACGAAACATACCCTTCTTGCCGCAGTACACGAACTGGCCGGTGTGGATGCCTTCGGCGGCAATGAATAGCTCCGTCCGCTTCTTAAAACGGTACGGGTCCCGGAAGACCACTTTGGCCAGGGGGGCGCCGCGGCCTGGGTCATGGATGATATCCTGCGTGCCGAGGCGGCGTGAGCGTGGGGGACCCAGCGGAGTGCCTCATGCCCGCCCCGCCCCGGCCTGCGCCCCGGGGGTGGGGAGGACCCAGCGGAGCGCCCCAGGCCCGCCCTCGCCCCGGCCTGCGCCCCGTACCTTCACGATGCCCTTGATGTAGCCGTGTCGCTCCGCGAAGTCCACGGCGCGGAGACGCGCGGCGCCCTTCCGGTGTTTCACGTGCGCGCGGAACACGGAGCCAGCGCCTTTCCTCTGCCCACGGATCACGCGGCCCATGGCGGCAGTCTGGGGAAACCTCACGATCAGCGCCCGGAGGGGGGAGGGGGGGGACACACGGACACAAATACTCCCGCCACCCGGCTTCAGTGCTCCTTTTTCCCAGGATCCATCCTCCAGTTCCTGGCCTCCTTCGAGCCACCACCCCAAGCTGTGCACCGGGGAGTCATCTCAGGAGCTGGCCTAGGTCCTTCGTGGGCCTCAGGGCGGCGGGTGGCGGCGGATGGCGGCGGATAACAGCGAAGCGGTTGGGGGGAAAAACACTACTTACCTTCTGCCTAGCGCGGCGGAAAGAGGATCCTCGGCGCTGGAAAGCGGCCTTATCTTCCGGGGCGGGGCCTAAAGCACTTTAACATCCGGGCAGACGCCGAGGCCGCAAGCGAAGTGCACCCTGGAACCTGTAGTCTTACCCCGCCGCCCGGGCCTCTGCGCAGGCGCACTGGAGAGCCGGCAGCTCTCAAGCCTCCCGATCGTCCAGCGAGCGGGGCCCGGGGTTAGGGTAGAGGTGCGCCCCACCCGCAAAGAGGACTCTCGGAGGGCGGGCACCCCCCCTGAGCGGTCGGGGAGGCCTTGAGGGCTTCGGTGGTTTCTTCAGGGTCACGCTGCCTAACACCGAGCGCGGGGTCGGGGGCTCCAAACTTGGCCTGACCAGGTCCCCTTTAAAGGAAACGGGTGGGTAGTTTCGGGGAACGTGGTTTACAGTAGGAAGACCGGGGTTCAGAAGACAGAGGGCAAACGTCCGATTTCTGCGGAGGAGGAAGGGCAGCCAGCCAGTAAATGGAGAGAGCAGAGCTGGGGTTCCATGGCCCAGGACGAAGGGGGAATGGGCGAGGGAGCATGATCTCACACAGAACCTGTGGGAAGGGGTGAGTGGGATTTGAACCCGGAAAGGGAGCAGCTATGGATAGAGGTGGGGATCTTAGCTGTGGAGAGGGGGCTTCCCGGAGACCCGGAGGGACCCGCAGGGCAGGGAGGGAGGGAGGGCAGGGGCAGTGTTGTTTTTTCCAAGTCAGATTTTTATGGCTGGTAGCGAAGGAGGCCCCCATAAGCCAAGGTTTCGGGTTCCGTCCAGGGTAGGGCGCGTAAAAGATTCAACTAATGAACGCATAACTAAGTGAAATAACAAACCGATGTTTCTTTCTCTCAACTTAATGAAGAAGAATATATATTGTCAGTTTTATTCTCCTTAAACTAGAGTGAGTCTTTTTCTTTCTCTGGGCTCTGGCCCCGCCCCGCCCCTGGGCCAGGGCTCGTCCCTTCTCTGGGCCCCGACCTATAATACTTCAACGTTGGCCCCGCCCACATCGTTCCAGCCCCGCCCCCGGCTGGGGCCCCGCCCCTCCCCTCCCAAGGCTACGCACTTTCCGCCCTATGGCCCCGGCCCGTATGCCCTGGCCCCGCCCTCCATGGGTCCAGCCCCGCCCCCGGCTGGGGCCCCGCCCCTCCCAGGGCTCTGCACTCCCCGCGCTCTGGCCCCGCCCCTTCTCAGGGGACCAGCCGGGAACCAAGGAGAGAGCCGAGCTTCCTAGCCGCCCAGAGCGGCCGGAAGCCAATTGGACAGCTGGCGCTGGTTTCGAGGCCTGTTTCCGGCGTCGTCGCACGCTCGGAGCTCCCGGCGGTTCTCCGGGAGGGTGAGTTGCGGCGCCCGCGCCGTCCCCTGGACCACCCGCCTCCAGCACAGCGGGCCCCGTGCTCCCTCCTCAGCCTCTGGGCGGGGAAGCTCGGGCGGTGCGACGCCTTGGCGAGACCCCGAGCGCCTGGCAGAGGATGCGGCGGAGCTGTGGCCGCCTCGCCGGCGGAGGCGGGAGGGTTTGGGGCGAGTGCTGCAGGCTCCAGCGCGGCCTTCCCGCCAGCCTGCTCCAGAGGGATCCTGGGTTCTCCTTCCTGCACGACCACCATCTCCAAGGGCCTTCCTTCCCCTCACGGCTCAGGGAAGACCTAGTCTTAGTGTCTGGAAGGGCTGTTCCTTGCGTGGGTGGGAAGTTTGCCTCTCAGCGCTGCCCTTCTCTGCGTGCACACGGCCAGGGGCGTCCCCCCACAAGTCACTTAAAAAAAAAAAAAAATATATATATATATATATATATATATATATATATATATATTATTGATTTTTTACAGAGAGGAAGAGAGAGGGATAGAGAGTTAGAAACTCAATGAGAGAATTATCAATCAGCTGCCTCTTGCACATCCCCCACTGGGGATGTGCCCGCAACCTAGGTACATGACCTTGACTGGAATCGAACCCGGGACCCTTCAGTCCGAAGGCCAACGCTCTATCCACTGAGCCAAACCGGTTTTGGCAATACAAGCCACTTCTGACCCAGAATCTCCTACTCTGACCTACCAGGGGGACATGGGGAGAGGGCCAAGATTACATGAGGGGTTCCTGTATCCAATCCTCTTTGCCCCACGGTTCATTATCAGACTCCCAGCTACTCCGACCTCCGGTCACAAAGCGATTCCCTGTGATCTGGCCCCACTGGCTCCTTTGGCCCATTCCTTCCTGCCTGAGCCCCTTTGCAAATGCTGGGCCTGTTGCTTAAGCACCTTCCTTACATCCATCTCCTTGGCCTAGATAACTCCTCCAGGAAGTCACCCATCAGAGTAAGTCAGGGAATCCTACTTTATTCTTTGAATTCTTATCCGAGGATATTTTTCCATTGATTTTTAGAGAGAGTGAAAGACAGAAATATCAATGTGAGAGAAACCCATCAATTAGTTGCCTCCTTCATGAGCCTGACCAGGGTCGGGGCAGGTGAGGAGCCTGCAACCAAGGTACATGCCCTTGACCAGGATCAGAATTGAACCCAGGACCTTACAATGCTTGTTCAGTGACTTGTGAGGGACCCTTGGATCCATAGGCCAACGCTCTATCCACTGCGCCAAATCGGCGAGGGCTGAGTATCCTACTGTACATGCTTTCGTAGTTCCCTGTATGTGGGTGTCCTCACAGTTCTAACGTTGCATTTACTTGGGTGGTTACTAAACTTTTTTCTCTACTAGACTGTGCTTCGTGAAGGCAGAGCCCTTGTGCATTGCTCACTGCTGCATCCTGTTGCCTGGTTGAGCACCTGGCACAAGTGGCCCACCCCTTAAGTGTCCGTGGAGTGATTCACAACCACCACACGCTCTGAAAGATGAACCAAGCCTCGGGGGACATATGCTCAAGTACTGTGGCTGCATTGGTTTCCCCCTGTGTCGCAGCCAGAGACTACCGGGAAATGGAGGTAAAGGATCACAGAACACAGTGCCCCCTGTGTTGTCCTGGATGTCAGGGGTGGTGGGGCCTCCAGCATCCTGACCTCTGACCCTTTCACAACTGTCAACAGGTTTCTCGGCCAGGACACATGGGTACTCACCCACCAAGCCTCATGGTAAGAGTCTGACTGCCTCCATTCCCGCACTCTTCTTATGAGGGTTCTGCCACTTCCTCTGGGTATCCACTCTGTCCATTGTGCCTGGGCCTAGATCATGCGATAGCCTCTTGCTGTGGCCCTTGACAGACTCTGGCATGCCCATCCCCAAGGTAATGGGTCCCTTCCCTCCTCCATACTGCTGCCCCTGTCCTTGATTTTAGAGCCAAAGGCTCGTGGTGACTGTCTTGCCCAACCCTGTGGTCCACATTTCTGAACACACCGTGAGGTGGCCCCAGAATAGGGCTGGCACCCAGCAGTCCCTGGGATGCTGGTTTGTGTCCTTTCAGGAAGCTGTGACATTTGGTGATGTGGCTGTGCACTTCTCACGGGAGGAGTGGCAGTGCCTGGACCCTGGCCAGAGGGCCCTCTACAAGGAGGTGATGCTGGAGAACCACAGCAGTGTGGCCGGACTAGGTGAGCCTGCACCTTGGGACCCCTCCCCCTGCGTCATAGATCTGCACCTGCCTAGCCAGGCCTCTTTCATAGCTGGGGATATGGAGGCCATGAGGTCAGATCCTGACCCTAGCACGGGTCATGGTGAGCCAGCCAGGCTCCTAAATTTGATCATGTCACAGGTTTAATCTTCACGTGGTATGTGGACTTCTGGGAGGCAATACAACCTCCTTCTTGTCTCAGCTAAGAGATTCACTTTTAAGAAATAGAATTCAAACTAAATAGCTTTTTTTTTCTTCTATCATTTTTAACCTCTGGAGGAATATATATAGATGGAGTGAGTTGAACTTGTCAAATTTTTTAGAGGAGTCCCTGTGAAACACCTGGGCCATGGGGAAGCCCTTACTTTCATGGTCTGTGGTCCAGCTAGCTTGTGAATCTCTCCTTTTGTCACCTTTGTCATTCCTAGTTTTTGCACAAATTCATCTGTTCCCTTGGATTTTTCATTTTCAGCATGTGTTTACTCATAATCCTCTCCCTCTTTACTTTTAAGCTCTGTTGTGTTTGCAGCTGTTTCCTTATGTAAGTTTTTGGCAGTGTCTTGATTGGTTTTGCCTTAGGACTGTTTATTCATCATTTCAAAGAGCAAGGTTTTGGTTTTGCTCAACTTTTGGGGAATGGTGTATGGGGCTCCTTATTCTCTATTTCACTGAATTCTGCCCAGTTTTTATTATATTATTTTCTCCCTTTGTTTGTATTTGCTGTGTTGTTTCCAATGTCGTGAATTTACAGTTTACCTCATTCATTTGTGTTCTACTGTCCTTATTTTTAGTAAATATATTTAAAAATGTAAACTTCTCTCTTTATATATTACTTCAGCTGCATCCTACAAATTGTGCCAGTTAGTAAATGGCTACTGAATCTCCAAATGGCTTATAGTTTTGAGCTGCGTGCTGTGGTTACTTTCATGTTCTGTTGCATTTTGGTGGATCTGTGTTCTGGGGTCCTAAGCACTGCACCATGACACCTTCAAGGCTGGCCCAAGCATGTTTCTCTGAATGTTACATTAGTGCTTGAAGAGAACACATGTTTCCTGTTCAGTGTGGGATACTGCCTGCACTTGAGGCCTTCAACCTGGGATCTCTCTGCCTGCCCTTCTCCACCCCCATGGTCGGGAACCTGAGGGAAGCTCCAAACACAGGGATGGGATGGGATGGGATGGGGTGGGGTGGGGTGGGGTGGGGTGGGGTGGGGTGGGGTGGGAGCTCACCACACTGATTGCCGCAGCAAGGGGCAGATGGCCTAGAAGGAGGCTGTCAGATGGATACCCACAGATCTCCACCGCTTCCAAGGCTGCCTAGCTCCCTTTGCATTGTGCAAGGATGCACGACTGGGGGTATCTGGGTGAAGACTGGACTTCATTGCCTTCTGGTTTAAAGTGTGTTTTGTTCATTGCTTTATTTTTGTTCTTTTGGGTTCATTTTTTTCCTTTTTACAAATTTTTGTTTATTGATTGATTTTTAGAAACAGAAAAATAGAGAGAAAAACACATTGATTTGATGTTCTGCATATTTATGCATTCATTGTTTGATTCTTGTATGTACCCTGACTGGAGATCAAACCTGTATCCTTGGCCTATCAGGACAACACTAAGCAATTGAACTAGTCAGCCAGGGTGGGTTTTTTGTTCGTTTGTATTTTTTTTTTTAAATTATATTTTATTGATTTTTCACAAAAAGGAAGAGAGACGAACAGAGTCAGAAACATCAAGGGGAGAGAAACATTGATCAGCTGCCTCCTGCACACTCCCCACTGGGGATGTGCCCGCAACAAAGGCACATGCCCTTCACCGGATTCAAACCTGGGACCTTCCAGTTCGCAGGCTGACACTCCACTGAGCCAAACCGGTTTCGGCTGTAATTTTTTTTTTAATGTATTTTATTGTTTTTTTACAAAGAGAGGGATAGAAAGTTAGAAACATTGATGAGAGAGAATCATCAATTAGCTGCCTCCTGGACACTCCCTAATGGGGATGTGCTCGCAACCAAGGTACATGCCCTTGACCAGAATCGAACCTGGGACCCTTCAGTCCACAGGTTGACGCTCCATCCACTGAGCCAAACCGGTTTCGGCTGTTTGTCTTTTTTTTTTTTTTTTTAATATATTTTATTTTTCACAGAAAGGAAGAGAGAGGGACAGAGAGTTAGAAACATCGATGAGAGAGAACCATCGATCAGCTGCCTCTTGCACACCTCCCTGAGGATGTGCCCGCAACCAAGGCACATGCCCCTGACCGGAATCAAACCCGGGACCTTTCAGTCCGCAGGCCGACATTCTATCCACTGAGCCAAACCGGTGCCGGCTGTTTGTCTTTTTTTTTAAATAAGAGTTTCTTTGACCCAAACTGATGATCTATGCTAAGAAGCAAGATTTCAAATACTCCTGTCCTGTTTCTTAATCACCCCTACCTCTTGGAACACATACATGCCCTCTGAACTGAGGGGATTGCTAGTAGTGCCTCGCTTTTCTCTTCTTGAAGCACAGAAGCCTCTTCTTGGCAAACTCTTGTGTGACAAGGTCCACTGGGGATCTTCGCCTTGAAGCAGGAGGGAATGGGCTGGGAGTCCAGGCATCCCTTGCTGTCTAGTCTCAGGAGCTGGACTGAACCAGACAGAGGGCCCATGTGCCCAGATCATAATCCTATGATGCTCCCTTTAGAGACTCTGCCTGTGCCAGCAGCCTCCCACCCTTTACTCTTGGAAACCAGGGGGCACTGAGTCCTGAGCTGCATTCCCAGCAGCACCAATGTGGTTTCCTTTGTCACCTTGACAGCAGGATTTCTGCTTTTCAAGCCTGAGCTGATCTCCCGGCTGGAGCAAGGGCAAGAGCCATGGGTCCTTGACCTGCAGGGAACAGAGGCGAGAGAGGCACGAAGGACCCTCCAGACAGGTAAGGATTGGTCCTGTGCATAGAAGCTGACTGGGAAGGCAGATGCTAGAGATCACCATGCGAGTTTGTTTTTAAACCACATCTTATTAAATCTCTCATCTTACCAATATTCTTATTAAGATACAAACATGGATGCAAGAGAAGGAGTAATCTTGGTTCTGAGCAGCTTCTTGGGTGAACATCTTGTCACTGGTACTGTTGAGCTTCCTCCAGACCTTCTGGGATCCCAGATGACCCTAGCCTCTCCAGTCAGGCTCCCGGCTGCCATAACAAAGCACCTGAACAAAGCACCTGGAGGCTTGAGTTGACAAAGATTAACATCTCACAGTCTTGGCATTGGCAGGGTTGTGACCCCTCTGAAGTCTGTAGGGGAGGATCCTTCCAGCTTCTGGTGGCCCCAGTTGTTCCTCTGCTTGTCACAGCGCATTCTCCCATGTCTGTCTTTCTAAGGACAGCAGTCATTGGAATAGGGCCTCCATACTTCAGTGTGACCTCATCCAATGACTCCATCTCTAGGGTCTTGTTTGTAAATAAGTTCATATTCTGAGGGTCTGGGCTGGAGCTTCACACCTTTTTTGGGGGCATAATCAGCTCATAACAAAGGCCTTCCTGTCCAGACCTCTTTCTGACCCTTTCTAGAAAGGTGTAAAGCAAGCAGCCGCCTGGCGCGAGTTTGACATGCTTAATGTAAAGGGACAGATTGGCCCAGTTAAAACCGAGCACTCATGTCACATTTCCAAAGTGGAGAGATATTTTAAAAATATATATATTTTATTGATTTTTTACAGAGAGGAAGGGAGAGGGGCAGAGAGTTAGAAACATGGATGAGAGAGAGCCATCAGTCAGCCGCCTCCTGCACACCCCTACTGGGGATGTGCCCACAACCAAGGTACATACTCCCTGACTGGAATCGAACCTGGGACCCGTGAGTCCGCAGGCCGACTCATCCACTGAGATAAACAGGTTAGGACGAGATTTTTTTTAAAAAGATACCTGTTTTTATTGATTCAGAGAGAGGAAGGGAGAGATACAAACATCAGTGGTGAGAGAGAATCATTAATTGGCTGTCTCCTGTAGGCCCCACACTGGGGATTGAACCTGCATCCCGAGTATGTACTCTGACTGGGAAACGAACCATGACCTCTTGGTTCATTTCAGTGTTTAACCCCTGAGCCACGTAGGCTAGGCTGGCACCATGGCAGGAGAGCTAGAGCTCCTTAGTAAGTGGTTCACATATGGAGGTGACCTTCCTGGTGGTTAGGCATCAAGAAGACTTCCCGCCAAAACTGGTTTGGCTCAGTGGATAGAGCGTCGACCTGCAAAATGAAAGGTCCCAGGTTCGATTCTGGCCAAGGGCATGTACATTGGCTGCAGATACATCCCCAATGGGGGGCGTGCAGGAGGCAGCTGATCGATGTTTCTCTCTCATTGATGTTTCTAACTCTCTATCCCTCTCTCTTCCTCCCTGTAAAAAAATCTATAAAATATATATATTTTTAAAAAAAAGACTTCCCTACGATGAGACTTAGAGCTGCTCCCAGACCTGGATGTTCAGGGCAGAGGACAGCCTTGTGGATGATCGTTTGTGGAACATGTTAGAACATGCCCAAGTATGATATTATTGGTTGGTGCAGCTCATAGTCCAGGATCCTCTTGTCATGGGAGAGGGCAGGGCCTGCAGCTGATACTTCACCGGTCCCAGGACTCGAAGCCCCTGGGGACTTCATGGTGAGTGTCATAGTTGCATTGGTGAGGACAGAATTTAGTCCAAGTGACAACTGCAATAGGTCAGAGTACAATGAGAGCTAACTCAGCTTCCACTTGTTTAGAGGTGACGGAGCCAGGCATGGGGTGTGATGGATCACAGAAGAGAAAGGCAGGTCCATGTGACACACTTGGCTTGCTGATGGGCCCTGCTCTTGGGAGTTGGCTGGAACAAGCATCCTCCAGTTTTCTCAAGCAGATGCTTTAAAGAGGTTGGTGTTGCCAAAACAGGTTTGGCTCAGTGGATAGAGCATCGGCCTGCAGACTGAAAGGTCCCAGGTTTGATTCAGGTCAAGGGCATGTGCCTTGGTTGCGGGCACATCCCCAGTAGGGAGTTGAGCAGGAGGCAGCTGTTCGATGTTTCTAAACTCACTGATGTTTTTAACTCTCTATCCTCTCAAAATATAGTAAAGAAAATAAAAAAATAAAGGGGTTGGTGTCATCTTGGGGATGCAACGTGGAGCTGTTAAAGGCTTGCTAGTGTTTTGTTCTTCATACCAAGGGGGAGGCCTGGTTGAGCAATTTCAGAGGAGCCTGGCTGGGCTAGAGAGGAGAGGGTCATTGCCAGAGGAGTAGTCCTTAGCGGGCACAGGAAGAGATGGGCTGTACTGTGTGCAGGTGTCTTGTGACCCTGAGGGAAGCAACATGTGCATGTTGAGGCAGACAGGAGCCTGCTGGCTGTATATAGGAGACTGTTGCTAGGGATGTGGCATGTAGGGAGGCAAGACCTTTGTAATATCACTAATTGCTGCTTGCAGACTTGGCTTCAGGAGAGAGAGAGGTGGATGCCAAGGCAGCCAGGTGGGCTTGCAGTGTCCTCATCTGGCTGCAGGAGGCCCAGGCAGTGCTGACATCCTTAATTGCTCTCTCAGGGCTGTTCATAGGGGCCTCTGCCTTGAAGCACTATGCAGAGGAAATAGTACTTGTCTGTTTTATGTCTTTATGGCTGCTCCTGCCCTGTTGGTAGAGCAGGTTTACCAAGGTTGTTTGCGCAGAAACGATAAACAGTGAGGAACAGGCAGGAGATGTCCCACATTTTAAGGTCAGAGATATGTTGAAAAAGGTCTGGTGGAACAGACCTGGGTTCATTCCTTAGTCTCTCATAAGCTGTGTGACCATGGGTGAACTCTTTAACCTCTCTGAGCCACACACCCCTTATCCACTACTGACCTCACTAACTTGCATGCAGCCCCTTCCATATGCTAGGACTGACATAGAGATGGGTCTCTATTGCTGAAGCACTGATGTGAGGTGTCAGGAGAGCCCTGTCACTGGGTCCGCGGTTTCACTGTGGGACAGACCTAGGCTAGTGAGGGGCCTGGAGGTGATTAGGGATGACAGGATCCGACTTAAGCAAAGACACTTCCTGGGATTGCATAGCAGGAAGGAGGTTGAAGCTTATATGAAGAGTCCAGAGGGTAAGTGAATGTCAGGAAAACTTTTGTGTGCTGGCAGGGTAGGTGGACCCCTAGAAATGAACAGGAAGTAGAAATCCATATGGGGAAGGTGAGGCGCAGACTGGCAAGGGACATGATCAGGTGTCAAATTGGAGAGAGTGGCCTGGAAAGAGCAGAGTTCTGGCCTTGGGACGCACTCAGAAGTCCAACCAGGAGACAGGCCCATGCCCAGCCGTTCAGCCTCACCCTTGAACACCTTTCATTAGCCTTCCTGCTTTGTCTTTCTTAGCACCTGCCCATACCTCTATTTTAAGTTTAAAATTCATCTTTTTTCCTCACTACTTCCTCTGACCTCTCAGCCTAAATCTGCCTCTCAATAAACACCCCTCCTCCCCCCACAAAAAAAATCAGTCTCACTTTCTTTTTTTGCTGGTAATCCTCACTTGAGGATAGTTTTATTTATTTATTTTTTTTTATTTTTATTTTTAAAAAATATTTTATTGTTTTTTGTTTGTTTGTGTGTTTTTTTTTTACAGAGAGGAAGAGAGAGGGATAGAGAGCTAGAAACGTTGATGAAAGAGAAACATTGACCAGCTGCCTCTTGCACACTCCCTACTGGGGATGTGCCCACAACCAAAGTACATGCCCTTCACCGGAATCGAACCTGGGACCTTCCAGTCCGCAGACCGAGGCTCTACCACTGAGCCAAACCGGTTTTGGCTTGAGGATAGTTTTAAAATTGAATTTTATTTTATGTTATTTATTTATTTATTTAAATATATTTCATTAATTTTTTTACAGAGAGGAAGAGAGAGGGATAGAGAGTTGGAAACATCAATGAGAGAGAATCATCAATCAGCTGCCTCTTTCACATCCCCTTCTGGGGATGTGCCCGCAGCCAAGGTACATGCCCTTGACCAGAATTGAACCCAGGACCTTTTAGTCTGCAGGCTGACACCCTATCCACTGAGACAAACCGGTTTAGGCTTTCAATTTAATTTTAGAGAGAATGAAAACAGGGGGAGGAAAGACAGAAACATTTCTTTGGGAGAGACACATCGATTGGTTGCCTCCTGTATGCACTCCAGCTGGGGCTGGGATCAAGCCTGTAACTGAGATACATGCTCTTTTTTTTTTTTTTCCTTTATATATATATATATATATATATATATATATATATATATATATATATAAATTATAGATTTTTTAGAGAGAGGAAGGGAGAGGGGATAGAGAGTTAGAAACATTGATGAGAGAAAAACATTGATCAGTTGCTTCTTGCAGACCTCCTACTGGGGATGTGCCCACAACCAAAGTACATGCCCTTGATCAGAATCTAACCTGGGACCCTTCAGTCCACAGGGCGATGCTCTATTCACTGAGCCAAATCATCTAGGGTTTACATTCTTTATGGACTTTTCCTCATACCACTTCCCCACAGAATGAACCTCTACTGATGTAGCCTTCTGTTGGAGAGTGGCTCTTAGCGCTCAGCTGAGTACACTGTGGTTACATGAATGTGTAAAAGAAAAAGTATGAATGAAACCAAATTTTGAGAACTGTCAAATGTGTCAAGTTTTGATAGTGTCTTTGCATGTCAGGTGTCCTAGAAGGGAGCTCAGTTCCTAGTGATAATCCCCACCTCAGCCTCTGCCCTTTCTGTGAGCTCGGGAGAAGTAGCCTTATCCTGCCTGTATGTTTCAGATTCTCCAATAAGCACTGATGGTGAGCAGGCTGGTGAAGATGTGCACTTGCTAAAATCAGAATCTCTGACAGCGATGGTCAAAATGACCCCTTGGGATTATCCTCAGAGTCCTGGATTTGGAGACATGTCTGATCCCGAGGTCTGGCCAGAGAGTAAGCTAAGCTCTCTCTTTCAGAAACACCACTTGCACACAGGGACTGTGGCTTCCAGAAAGACCTCTGCCAAGGAGGATAAGCAGGGACATGTCAGCCTGGGTTGTCAACCTGAGAAAAGTCAGGAGGTTGCTGTAGACAGGCCATCTCGAAGATGCGATGTGTGTGGCAGCAGTTTCAGATTCATGGCTCTGCCTCACTTCGGTGGACAGAAGAAATGTAACAGATGTCAGGAGTGTGAGAAAAAGTTGTCTGATTGCTTTAAGGGGAAACATCAAACTAACTGCCATAGAGAAAAGTCATATGGGTGTGGGGAATGTGGGAAACTCTTCAGGTTGTGCTCACAGCTTAATCAGCATCAGAGAATCCACACTGGAGAGAAACCATTCAAATGCATAGAGTGTGGGAAAGCCTTTCGCCTGAGCTCAAAACTTATTCAACATCAAAGAATTCATACTGGAGAGAAACCCTACAGGTGTGAGGAGTGTGGAAAAGCCTTTGGTCAGAGCTCCAGTCTTATCCACCATCAGAGGGTACACACAGGAGAGAGGCCCTATGGCTGTCGTGAGTGTGGGAAGGCCTTCAGCCAGCAGTCTCAGCTGGTCAGACACCAGAGGACTCACACTGGAGAGAGGCCCTACTCATGCCAGGAATGTGGGAAGGCCTTCAGTCAGAGTTCAACTCTGGCTCAGCACCAGCTGATGCACACTGGGGAGAAGCCTCCAGTTCCAAAAACCCTGGATGGTGCCAGCCTTGTTGCACACCAGAGAATCCACGCTGCAGAGAAGCCATTTAAATGTGATGAGTGTGGGAAGGCTTTCAGGTGGGTCTCTCGGCTTAGTCAGCACCAGCTGATTCACACTGGAGAGAAACCATATAAATGCAACAAATGTGCAAAAGCCTTTGGTTGTAGCTCACGGCTTATTCGACACCAAAGAACTCACACTGGAGAAAAACCTTTCAAATGTGATGAGTGTGGGAAGGGCTTTGTCCAGGGCTCACACCTGATTCAGCACCAGAGAATTCACACCGGAGAGAAGCCCTATGAGTGTAGTGATTGTGGAAAAGCCTTCAGCCAGAGTTCAAGCCTCATTTACCATCAGAGAATCCACAAGGGAGAGAAACCCTACGAGTGCCTGGAATGTGGAAAAGCCTTCAGTATGAGCACACAGCTCACAATTCATCAGAGGGTTCACACTGGGGAGAGACCCTATAAATGTGGTGAGTGCGGGAAAGCCTTTAGTCAGAACTCAACCCTTTTCCAACACCAGATAATTCATGCTGGAGTAAAGCCTTATGGATGCAATGAGTGTGGGAAAGCCTTTAGTCGAAGTTCATACCTTATTGAGCACCAGAGGATTCACACACGTGCCCAATGGTACCATGAATATGGGGGCACCCTCGAGGGTTCTACCCATGTGAGCCGTAAAAAAGTTAACACTGTAAAGAAACTACACAAGTGTAATGAATGTGAGAAAATATTCAGATGGCGCTCCCATCTCATTATACATCAGAGGATTCACACTGGAGAGAAGCCTTATAAATGTAATGAATGTGGCAAAGCCTTTAATCGGAGCTCAAGGCTCACTCAGCATCAGAAGATTCATATGGGATAGACTAATTTTTTAAAAAATATTTTATTAATTTTTTACAGAGAGGAACGGAGAAGGATACAAAGCCAGAAACATCGATGAGAGATAAACATCGATCAGCTGCCTCCTGCACAGCCCCCACTGGGGATGTGCCCACAACCAAGGTACATGCCCTTGACCAGAATTGAACTGGGTCCTTTCAGTCCGCAGGCTGACACTATCTTCTGAGCCAGACCGTTTTTGGCCACTCACCTCTTTGTGTGTAAGTAAGTGGGAATAAACCCACAGCCTTAACCTACTTAAATTATATGGGATCATTGATACTAACAAGCGAGGAAGTAAAGACTCAGAATTGCTCTTTAAAAGTATCCAAGTTCATACAAATGTGTTTATTCCTGGGAATCTGATCTTAACCCAATCCATAACCCAGTGTCCCTTGTGTCAGGGGAGTCCTGTGTAGGGTTCTCAGTGCGCACAGGGATGACCCAGGTTCTGCAGCTGAGGCATGAAGTCCTATGAGCTCTGCCAGATGAGATGCTCAGTGACTTCAGCACCAGTATGCTCAGACTGGCTTAAGCAAGAATGTGTGAGCGTGCATGCGCTGAAATCAGAAGAGGAGTATTTGGAATTCCCTTCTGCCTTCACCTGACTCCTTTAAACCTTTTCCCCAATTAGCAGCCCAGGCATGCAGCCACCTAAGGTCAACATGAGTTTTCATATGGTCCAAGCCACTATGATTATTCTGACTGACAGGCTGGGCCCATGTTCATTCACTTTGTCTCACAGAGCAGTTTCTGCCATGGAGAACAGTGGATGAGATAGACCTGCCGCACTGACCCCCTCCCTGTCCAGTGTCCTGGATTCAACAGTTGGGAGGGAGTCCAGAGGCCAGGAGTCCACTTGAAACTGCTGACCTTTGGTACCATTGCCACAATCAGAGGGGCAATATTTGAGATGCTTTCATTGCACAGTGGAGGAGCCATTTCTTCCATATGTGTACAGGTATCCCAGAGGGGAACAGGTTAGTCACTTCAGGATTTGTTGTGACACTTAATTTGGGTCACCATCACACTGGTTTGGTCAAGCCCACAGCAGCACCCCAAAACCTTGTCGCTTCTATTGTCATGCATGGCATAGCCTGTAGCAGGCTCTGGATTTGAGTCAGATGGAGAAAATGCTTGCTGGTTCCCATGTTTGTATTAGGAAGTTTCTCGAGCTTTCTGCAGTTTTTGGGAGCAGTGGACATCTGGGTGGTTGAGTTTATGTGAGTTTGCGTTTCCAGCACATGGGTGGAGCCAGTCAGCCTGATTATCAACTGCTACTGCTTATCCATCACTGCCTGACAGGTCCTCTACCTCGTGCCAGGATGCCATGAAATCAGTGGGCGCATCTCTATAGTCATCCCTACTCTACCCAGAACTTGTGTCTGGAATGGTCAGTGCCAGAGGGTCAGAGGCTTCTGTACATTATGCAGAGGTTATGCTCATTGTGTCCCCACGTCAACTGCTATGCTCACCTATGTGGTCACTGCTGGCACTTCTGGATGGGTGGGCCCAATTTGGAAGGGCTGTAAATACTTTAGGCCACCCAATGATGGTTCTGGAGCCAGGGTCCTGAGTGGAGAGGGCACACTTGCCATCTCCTGGCACTTGGTACTGTTGTGCACTGAAGGGCCTCTCCATTGGATCCCACCTCCCTTGTATACTCCTGGGTAATGAGGGAGAAAAGGATGGAGTATTATATGGATTCCTCCAGACTGCAGACTGTAGCCTGGACATGATGCTCTTTCTTAACAGTAACTGCAGGCCAGAGACTTCTACCTTAAATCTCCTTCAGTATTTGAGTCTGCACAGCTATGTTCCAAGATCAAGGGCTGGTGAAGGCAGTATAAGGCCTGGTTTTGTGTGGTGCTGGGGTGATAATCAAACACTGAGGCCATAAAACTGGATGTTTTGAATGCCTACCAAGCAGACCAGATGTTATGAAATATTGTCCTTTTTAAAAAAATACCTTTTTATTGATTTCAGAGAGGAAGGGAGAGAATAGAAGTATCAGTGATAAGAGAGAATCATCTATTGGCTGCCTCCTGCACACTCCACACTGGGGATTGAGCCCACAACCTAGGCATGTGTCCTGACTGGCCAACAAACCCTGACCTAGTTCATAGATTGATGTTCAGCCACTGAGCCCCGCTGGCCCAGCTCTACTTTTATGCTATATTCCCCAATTTGGGCTTCAGTAAATACCAACTCATTTTAAGGATTTCTAGTACTGTTTAAGAATAGGTTTTAAAATACTTTGGACTTCTCTTATTGAGTCAAAAAATTAAACCCATAATTCTAAGCTGGTTGCTTTTATTCTCAATTATTAGGTAGAGCTTTGGTTTATAATGTTGGATTGTAGCTATTTTGAGGTTTGTGGAAACTTTCCAAAGTGTTTGCGGCAATACAGAACCCAGTGAGTTTACACACCTGTATCCCCGGTGTGTGTGACTTATACTCATATCCCAGTAAATGTTTGTTGAATGAGTGAATGATGAATTTGAGGAGTATCCAGGCTTTGAAGTTGAGAAGTCAGAGCCCCACAGAAGAGGAACAACTACCAACTACTACAGGATTTAAATAAAGTTGTTACAGCTGAAAGGTAATTTTCTAGGTGCATCATTCCCTGGGACAAAGGTGGGAGAGGCCAGCCTCTGTTCTCATGTTCAGGTTCATGGTGATCAACCACAAAGAAGGGTAGACAATTCCTTTGTAGTCTGGGTGAATCCTGTGGGTGTACAGGGTCTGCCCACTTCAGCCTGATGAGAGCTGAAACAGATAGAGCTGACACCCACTTACCAACGGATTTTGTACGATTCTGGAGTGAAGAATGATTTTTAAAAAATTGATTTGATAAAGAGGGAGGGGGGCAGAGAAACACTGATTTGCTCCACTTTTTTTTTTAATATATTAATTGGTCCATTCTTACATGTGCCCTGACGTCATCAAACCTGAAACCTTGGTATATTGGAACTACGCTGTAACCAATTGAGCTACCTGGCCAGGGTAGGATGGAGAACATCTTAACCATCTGTTCCTAACTGAATGACAAAAGGCACAGGCTGGGAACATATGGCACGGGACCAAAAGCTGTGCCTCAGAAATCTCCCTTCCCCAGTCTGCTGACCCTCAGAATGTACTACCAGATTAATCACAGCAACACAGCCATGGAGATAGCCAGAAACTCCAGCTGGGTGCACCACTGTTCTCTGTGGCCCGGTGGGCAGAAAAAAGGTGTGAAAATCCCAGTGGTTACCTGCTATTTGATGATGCATCTCCAAGTGTCTCCCCAACCCCTGCTGCAGGGGCTGCTGAGAGGTTCAAGGTGGGTTCTTGAGTAACAGGTCCATTCCTCTCCTCTTCCCCCCACCCCACCCAAGTCAGTACAAGGGTGGCCAGGAAGACACCTTTTCTCACTGCCACCAGGTGCATAATTTTGAGCCATGGAGTCCCAGCCACAAGGTCCCACAGTGGCAGTGGAGCTTCTAGCATCCTGATGGAACACACAGGCTGGGTTCAGACCCAAGGTCTCCACTCCTGATTGCACTGGTCAAACGCCACTATGGTAATCTCACACACTAAAAGCTCCCAGGTCTGTGTCTTTCACTCTAGGTACACCATCCCAAGCTGACTAGCACACCCACCCTGGAGGTGCTGAGAAAGGCCCCTGCTCCTTCCTGTGTGTGCTGGTCAGCTTGGGCTGGTAGATGCAGAGTGAAGGCTCAATACAGATCCTTCTAAAACAGCAGTCAGGTTGGGACATCCCTCAGTACCCTCACTTACCTCTATACTCCTCTTCTGCCCATAAGTCTTCCTTGGGTCACTGCTCCCTCACCTCTTGCAAATCTGCTCACATACCATCTTCTAGAAGGCCCACATTATGACCCAATGTAAAATGACAGCCTAATTCTCCATAGTCCTGCTACCCATTCCCTGGACACTGGCCTATTTTATCATTTATTATCCTATATAATAAAGAGGTAATATGCAAATTAACCCTCATACCCTTGCACAAGATGGCTGCCCCGATGTGGGCTGGCAGGGGAGGGCAGTTCTGGGCAATTGGGCCTGCAGGGAAGGGCAGTTGTGGGCAATTGGGCCTGCAGGGAAGGGCAGCTGGAGGCAATTGGGACTGCAAGGGGAGGGAGGGCAGTTGGGGATGACCAGGCCAGCAGGGGAGTAGTCAGTCATCAATCACGCCAGCAGGGTAGTGGTTAGGGGGTGATCAGGCTGGCAGTCAGGAGAGTAGTTGGGAGCCTGCAGTTCTGGATTGTGAGAGGGGTGTCTGACTGCTCATTTAGCTCTAAAACAGCAGTCAGACATTCCCTGAGGGGTCCCAGATTTGACAGGGCAGGTTGGACTGAGGGACACATACCAAACCTCCCCCATCCCCCGACCATGCATGGATTTTGTGTACCAGGCCTCTAGTATCCAATAACAAGCTACACCAGTTATTAGTTGTTATGCACTCTGTAATGTCTTCCTCTCCCCACTACAATGCTGGCTCCTTGATCAGGGATTGAAGACAAGGATGAAATATCCACTCTGAAATACATGGTTCATAGAAACAAATGAGCAGAACACTCAGATGCTACCTGGGGTCCAACTAAATAAACTTGGGATAAAGACCTTGGACTGGGCCCTAGACTGACCAGACCAGATGGCCACCCTGGAGCTGCAGGTACCCTCACCCAGCAATGCCACCAATAGCCAGGGGAGGTGTGTGCAGGGTGACATGACCTAGGAAGACATGTTTTTAATCATTGCTTTACTCCCAAATAAAGGAAAAACAGTGCTGACTTTTTCAATCAAACAGAATGACGTGGCTACATTCACACGCTCACTGAAGAGTGTCTCCTAGGCAGGGTGGGCTTCCCTTTGGATATGGCTGAGCAACTGCCCCCCAGTCACCAGAGCCACTGGGAGAGCAGGTCAGTCCTGCAGTTTGTGCTCACACTTCTTCTCCAGGTCAGCCATTTCCTTCAGCACCAAGGCCACGCTGTACCGAAGCTCCTGGAATTTGACTGTGGGGACCTCAAAGTGGTGTGCTGACCCATCTGAAAGTGTCAGCTGCATCAGGACACTTGGCTGCAGGGAGCGGGCCAGGGCACTGGTAGAGATTGCCACGTCCACCCTCCACCGAAAGTTGGCAACATGGGGTAGACAAGCCCCCTGCTGCCTGACCACAGCGTCAAGGAGAGGCCGCTGGCTCCCAAACACCACACTGGCCAAGTCCATGACCAGGTCTTGGGGGATGCAGAGTTCCTGGAGCTGGTCCTTGAAGGTGTCAGGCTTCAGGCTGGCTGGGGGCAGCCGGAGGGCCTTCTGGAGCAGCGTGTGGGTGCCAGCAAGCAGGGCACCCAGCCGCTCCTCCGAAAGGTGCGCAGTAATCCCAAGGCGCTGCACAGCTTCACGGCAGTCCTCTCCCTGCAGGCCACTGACCACCAGCTTCAACAGCTTTCTGAATGTGCCCCTGTCCAAGTCCCCCAGGAGCCGGGGCATGGCTGCCACCTCTGGGGGAAGTTGGGCCCCCAGGAAACTCACCTGGCCGCTGTGACTGACACCAGGGTGATGCAAGTATGGAGCTACAGCTCCGACGGCGGACATGACTGCTTCCTCCTCTCTGATCAATCGGCTCAGTCAGGTCCCAGCTGCAAACTGCCTGGAAGGGGTGGAGAGAAGCCTAGTGACTTCCCACATCCTTTGGATCAGTGACAGGACTGACCTGATTGCCACCTTGGAGACAGTGGCAGTGGGAACTACTGAATACAGCCCATGTCATGGGAAGCACCCTGGGATCCGGTGGTCCCAGGAAGAGGGGAGGCAGGAGTTAGCAAAAGAGACGGCAGGGATGGAAAGAGAGCAGCCACCGGCGCGGGAGAAGGAGTCGACAGATACGCGACCGGTTCGAGTCATGCCCTGAGCTCGCCGCGGCATCCTGGACACCTTACATTGGCACGAGCCAAGGTCAGCTTCTGCGGCCGTGCCCCAAGCTGCATCGAATGGGCGGGCCAGCGCGCCACCGTCGTAGACAGGCCTCCGGCCTCCAGAGTTACCTCGCCGCGGTGACGAAGGGACGGCGTGCCGCTCAGCAGCCCCCTCCCGGGAGGGGGCGACCCAACCCACCACGCTCGCAAGGCAGAGCCGCCTCTCACCTGGCGCGCGCGCCCGAGGTCTGAAGCGGAACAGCCCAAACACAAAGCGACTGGGCGGCCGGAAGCCACTCAAAAGTACTTCCGGGAATCTCTAGGAAGCCGGGAGGACCCGATCCTCTGTGATCTGCGGGCCCGAGTGTTTCCCCCATTCACACAGATTAGAAAACGCATATTCTTTTATTTTCAAGAAAAAGAAAATAAAAGGTTGTACAGGGCTGGCCCGGGCCTGGAGCGGAGAGTGGGCTCGGTGTTCGGGGTCCAGCCTGTCCTGCAGATCCGCCTACCCACCGGGACCCTTTTAGACGTCCCTCACCCCGCCCGACCACCGCGCGAGTCCTCCGCGGTCCTAGAGAAGCCCCGGAAGTGCCAGGCGGCCGCTGTTTCCGGCCCCCGCGGCCTAAGAGGCAGTGAAGCGGGGAGGGCGCGCCTAGTTCGGGTGCCGCCCGGCCCCGCCCGTTTCGTCTGGCCCCGCCCCTCCCGCCGGGCCCGCTACGCCCAGGTGAGCATCCTCTTCCGCGCGCGGGCTCTCCGCCGCGGGCTGCGAGTGCGGGCGGCAGCCGCCGCGGCCCACTGCGGATGGAGGAAGAGCCAGCCGAGTGGGCGGGTTCGAAGGGAGGCGTGGGAAGGCCCCGCGGACCGAGGTGCCCAGGCGGAGCCTCGGGAGGTTTTACCCGAGGTCACGACGGGCTGGGACGGCGGCGCGGAGGTTGAAGTGACCTGCCGGGAGGAAGGTCGGCCCCGGCCGGCCTGGGCATGCGGTGGGAGCGTTGGGCTGTGTCTGCAGCCTCGGGCTGCCGGAGCTCGCGGACAGGAGGAGGCCGCCGGCGAGACTTGGGAGAATGAGGACCTCCGCTTGGCCTGAGGGGCGGCGAGGATATGGGAGGCGACCCAGGAGGTTGGGGACGAAGGGGTGACGAGGGCGGCGAGCTTCTGGCAGCGTCCCGGGCCTCTCGCCCTGTAGGTGGGGGCGGATGGGGGCTGCACGCCTTGTGTCAGATGCAACTCTGCCTCAGGTGGGCCCGGAAACGACCAGTGGAGCGGCCAGCTTTCACCTCTCAGCCCCCGGCCCCACCTGGGTTCTGGCTCTGCCAGTTCTAGTGATTTAACGTGTAGATGGACAGTCAGGCACGCGCTGAGTCCTGCTGCAGGGTGACCTGCCTCTGGCCAGCAACTTCTATAAGAGAAAGTACTCGTGGCCTCAGGGGGCCACTCCAGGAACCCTTTACCTGTCTGCCCTCACACCCCTTGGGCTCTGGAAGTTAATGAAGAGATGTAATGACACTGAGAGGGTCTGAGTGTGGGTCCCCTCCCTCCGAGGGTGAGCATTGGAGGCCCAGGCCAGGGCAGCCCCCCTCAGGTCCTGAGTCTTCCTTCAGATCCTGCTCCCCAGGATGGCAGATGCACTCGGGCTTCCAGCGCCCCAGGTGAGTTCACTTTCCTCCCTGCCTTCCCTTTTCTGGAGCGGTGAGCCCAGCTCCTGCAGAAGCCGGGCTTCCATGGCACCCAAGGACAGGGCTCTGGGATTGGACTCACACCCTCCCCAGGGACAGGGACTCTGGGAACTCAGCGGGGTCCTCGTGGCCGGCTGGTCCTCGGGCTGAGCGCAGCAGGTGTGCCCAGTGGGCGCAGCCCCAGGGCAGCGGCCACCTGTCGTTACAGGAGGCGGTGCCGCTGACCTTCCAGGACGTGGCTGTGTACTTCTCTCGCTCGGAGGGGCAGCAGCTGGACTCGGACCAGCGGGCACTGTACAGGGATGTGATGCTGGAGAACTACGGGCACGTGGCCTCACTGGGTGCGTTTCTCCCTGGGCTTGTGGTGTGGGCCTCCGGGGAGCTCGGGGGCTGCTTCCAAACCTTAGAGCCCAAAGGGGAGGGTCCTACCTCTTGTTCCCAGGTACCCGTCTAGTCTCTGCCTGGCTCCCAATTCCAGACTTCACTCTGCATGCCCGTGCCTACCTGGTACCCAGAGGCAGAAGAACGGATGAGTTATTTTCCTTCAGCGCTCACTCTCAGCCCCTGCACCTGACCAGCCCCTTCCAGTCCACCAACACACACATTTTGTGATCCCTGCCCCTCTCCCACCTGGGGTGACAGTGTGGAGAAGCAGGAGTCCTCCGGGAAAACTATACTTCTCACCTGGCCTGTAAGATGCAGTGGGAAGTGCTCTGTTCCAGCTCACCCAGTGCCCTCACCTCAATAGGACTCCCTGTCCCTAAGCCGGAGCTGATCACCCAGCTGGAGCAAGGTGAAGAGCTGTGGGTCCTGGATCTCGTGGGAGCTGAGGAACCGGAGCCCTTGAACAGCTGCAGCACAGGTGAGAGTAGGTGGGGCTGGTTAGGTGATGGGCTCACTTCCACGGGCTCCTGGCGGCAGTCTGAACAGCGTTGAGTATTCCGGCAGACATGTGTGCCTGTTTTAACAGCTTTCATTTTACTGATTTGTTTGCTTTCCTTTTAAAAATACACAGTTCTTCCGGTTATTAGAGAAGTTTGCATTTAGTGATTACGTCTATGCTAAACCTGTATAACAACTTTTCTTTTTTATATAATAGCCTTTCTATTTTCCTCCTCTAGACAGTTATCTACCTATTACACAAACTTTTATCCTTTTTCTCCTGCATCTCCTGGTCTTAGTCAATAGTGTTTTTTATTTTTTTATTTATTTCTTATTTTTAAAAATACATTTAATTGATTTTTCTTACAGAGAGGAAAGGAGAGGGATAGAGAGCTAGAAACGTCAATGAGAGAGAAACATCAATCTACCGGGGATGTGCCCACAACCAAGGTCCATGCCCTTGACCAGAATCGAACCTGGGACCTTTCAGTCCACAGACCTTCGCTCTACCGCTGAGCCAAACCGGTTTCGGCAATAGTGTTTTTTAAATGTTTACCTTGGTCTGTTGAACATACTTTTATTAGTATGTTCTAAGCGCCATCTCTGACTCCCAGCTGCTGAGATGACCAGTGATGTGATCTGCTTTCTCTTTCCAGTTCAGTTGTCAAAGCATATAACACATCATCACTCTCATCCTCACCTGTGTTAGTACCCTAGGTCTTCAATTAAATTTCCACCCTGAACCTTTCTCCTACATTTTCTCCAGCATTTCCTGTTTGGATGGAATGTACCTCTAGTAGCATAAACTTGCTGAGTTTTAATAGCCACAACTACGTCAACCACATCTCTTATCAAGATAAGGAACATCCCCATGACTCAGAAGACTGGGTGTGATGTTATTGAGCACATGCATGACTTTTTTCACTAGAGATAAAGTAAGAGCTGAATTGTTTTTTAAAACCATGATTCTGGCCCTAACCTGTTTGGCTTAGTAGATAGAGCATCATTCTGCAGACTGAGGGGTCCCAGGTTTGATTGTGATCAAGGGCATGTACCTTGGTTGTGGGCACATCCCAGTGGGGGGTGTGCAGGAGGCGGCTGATGGATGTTTCTCTCTCATCAATGTTTCTAACTCTCTATCTCCCTCCCTCTCAGTAAAAAAATCAATAAAATAAATATTTAAAAAATTAAAACAAATAAACAACAACATCAGAAACCCACGATTCTCTCCTAGCTGGTTGCTCACTGGGTAGAGCGTTGGCTTGCAAACTGAAGGGTCCCAAGTTTGACTACAGTCAAGGACACATGCCCGGTTGGTGGACTCAATCTCCACTGGGGGGGATACAGGAGGCAACCCATCAATAATTCTCTCTCATCATAGATGTTTCTATCTTTCCCTCTCTCTTCCTCTCTTAAATCAATAAAAATATATTTAAAAAACAGTAACAAGATGATTCTAAAAGCCACTGTTTTGTTGTAAATTTTACTAAAGTTTTGATTGTGCTATTCTAAATTTGCAATGGTATTAGGCTGTTATGTATGGTTAGTGCCATGAAAGGAATGGAATGCCCAATGTGTCAGTTCCCCACAGTGTCAGCTCATGAGAAGAGTGCTCATTTAGGAACCTGAAGTCCTGTCTGGAGAGGTGAGAGAAAGGGCTGCCCAGGATATAGAGTGTGGGTGCGATGGCACCCCTAATGGGGCAGGGCCCACAGAGTGTCCGGGTGTCCAGGCCTTTCAGTTTGATGGGAAAAGGTGATTCTGTTTCTGTGAGGTTTTCTCATGCAGAGGAGCAGTAGTGAACACAGTTGTCTTGCCTTATTTTTTTTTTTTAAATATATTTTATTGATTTTATACAGAGAGGAAGGGAGAGAGATAGTCAGAAACATCAATGAGAGAGAGTCATCGATCAGCTGCCTCTTGCACACCCCCTACTGGGGATATGCCCACAACCAGGGTACCTGCCCTTGACCGAATCGAACCAGGGACCTTTCAGTCCCCAAGCCGACACTCTATCCATTGAGCCAAACCGGTCCCGGCTGCCTTGCCTTATTATTATTTTTAATTTAAAAAATATATATTTGTATTGATTTCAGAGAGGCAGGGAGAGGGAAAGAGA